TGGCGAAGCCGTGGTAGGCGACGCCGCCGGCAATCTTGACGCCAATCGCCGCGATCTTGCGCTGGCCGTCTGCCGTCCAGACCCCGGTGCGCCCTTCCACCGTGCCTGCCTCCAGCCCGAACTCGGCCAGGACGCCGATGATCACCCTGCTCCAGCGTGCGAACGTACCAGTGGGGGCCGCCGCGTCCCCGCAGCCGGATGATGGGGTAGGCCACCAGCTGACCCGGGCCGTGGTAGGTGATGAGGCCGCCCCGGTCGGTTTCGATGACGGCTATCCCGCGAGCGGCCAGCGTCGCCTCGTCCAGCAGCAGGTCGGTATCCGGAGCCAGGCGACCCTCGCGTGTAGGTGTGGGGATGCTCCAGGAGCAGCAGGGTTTCGGGCTCCGAGCCTTCGCGCACGGCGTTGGCGAGCCGGACCTGCCAGTCCCAGCTTCCCGATACCCCACCACGCCGGCCCGAATTATCCGGCAGGTTCCCTCACCCGCCGCGACCTGCGCGCCCTCAGTAGATGGGCGTGTCGCCATCCATCGCCTCGAGGCGAGCCTTCACCGATTGCATGAACGCGCCGGATTCCGCGCCGTCGTTGATCCGGTGGTCGAAGGACAGGCACAGGTTCATCATTGAACGAATGGCGATGGCGTCCGAGCCCCTGTCATTGGTAACGACCACGGGGCGCTGCTGCACCGCCTCGGTGGTAATTATGCCGGCCTGGGGATGGTTGATGATCGGCCCGCCCAGCACGCTGCCCAGCGCGCCGGTGTTGTTCACCGTGAACGTGCCGCCCTGCACATCGTCCAGCCGCAGGGTTGCCGCCGCGCGCCCGTTCCGAGAGATCTGCAACCGCGTGGGCCAGGCCGGAGATGCTCAGCCGGTCCGCGTCGTGGATGACCGGCACCACCAGCCCGGTCGGCGCGGCCACCGCGATGCCCAGGTTGATCCGGCGCTTGAGCACGATGCAGTCGTCGCCCCACGACGCGTTCATCGTCGGGTTGTCCTTCAACGCCGACGCGACGGCCTTCAGCGCAAAAGGCAGGTAGGTCAGGTTGACGCCCTCGCGCGCGCGGAACTGGTCGCGCTCGCGGTTACGCAGGCCGACCAACTCAGTGATGTCGACTTCCACCATGCTCCAGGCATGGGGGATCTGGGTCACCGAGCGCACCATGGCGTCGGCGATCATGCGGCGCACGGGGGTCAGCGGGACGCGCTCTTCGTCGGCAGACGGCGCCGCGAGCGGCGCTGCCGGTGCAGGAACGCTTAGCGGAGGCGCGGTTGCCGTCGCCACGGTCGCCGGCTGCTGTTCCAGGTAGCGCAGCACGTCGTTCCTGGTGACGCGCCCGCCCATGCCGGTGCCGGCGATGCGGTCGACGTCCAGGTTGTGCTCCGACGCCAGCCGGCGCACGGCGGGGGAAAGCCGGTTGGGGGCTCGTTCGACGGTCGTTTCTTGGAACTGGTCGACTGCCCGAATGACCGTCGCCTGCGTCTGCTGCCGCTGGTTCTGGTTCGGTCGGAGAGTCCCCCTCCTGGCCCTGCGCCTCCAGCGCGGAACCGCCCGTGGGTCCCACCGGTCTTCCATCCATGATCAGATACGACGTTGGCGTCGATGATGCCGGGGCCGGTCCCGGTGCAGGTGCCGGCGGTGAGGCTGCGGGCGCCCGAGTCGCGGATGCGGCGGGTGGTTCGCCGGAGGCCGGCCCGCTGCCGTCGTCCACCTCCGCAATCGGCGCGCCCATGGGAACCGTCTCGCCCTCCTGGGCGATGATCCGCAGCAGCTCTCCGGCCACCGGCGACGGGGACTTCCATGGTTACCTTGTCGGTGACCACTTCCACCAGTGGGTCATACCGTTCCACACGGTCGCCCGGCTGCTTCAGCCACTTGCCGATGGTACCTTCGACGACGCTCTCGCCGACATGGGGGAGTTCAATCAGTTGAGCCACGGGATGGTCCTTGCTTGGTTACTGCGGGCCAGTCAGTACGCCGCCAGCCGGCGTATTTCTGCGGCAATCGCTTCGGGACTGGGCATGTAAGCGTCTTCCAGCGTCTGGGCAAAGGGCATGGTGGGCACATCCGGTCCGCAGAGACGGGCGATGGGAGCGTCCAGGTACTCGAACGCCTCGTCCGCCGCCAGGGCTGCGATCTCCGCGCCAATGCCGCCGCTGATGTTGTCCTCGTGGACCACCAGCAGCCTGCCGGTCTTACGCACAGATTCAAGGATTGTTTCGGTGTCCAGGGGTTTGAGCGTCCGCAGGTCGACGACCTCGGCGCTGATGCCGTCAGCGGCCACCGCTTCCGCCGCCGCCAAGCAGTAGTGCATGGACAGGCCGTAGCTGACCACCGTGACGTCGGAGCCGGCGCGTTTGATGTCCGCCGGACCAATGGGCAGGGTGTATTCCCCGTCGGGAACCTCGCCTCTCACCAGGCGGTAGGTCTTCTTGTGTTCCAGGAAGATGACCGGGTTGTCGTCGCGGATGGCGGACTTGAGCAGCCCCTTCGCCTCGTACGGCGTGGATGGGAGTGACCACCAGGAGGCCGGGGGTGTGGAAGAACAACGCCTCCACGTTTTGCGAGTGAAACAGCCCGCCGCGAATCCCGCCGCCGTAGGGGATACGAACGGTCATCGGAACCTTCAGCGCGCCATTGGTGCCATAGTGGGCCCGGGCAGCCTCGCCGATCAGCTGGTTCACGCTGGGCCAGACGAAGTCGGAGAACTGCACCTCCGGTATCGGCCGCATCCCGCGGAAGGCTGCGCCCAGAGCGATGCCCATGATGGATGCCTCCGCCAGCGGGGAGTCGATCACTCGCTCTGGTCCGAAATCTTCAATGAACCCCTGGGTGGCCAGGAACACGCCACCGCGCTGGCCCACGTCCTCGCCCATGACGAATACGCGCTCGTCCCGCTCCATCTCTTCGTGGAGCGCCGAACGCACCGCTTCAATTATGGTCATCTCTGCCATGAAGTTTCCTACCTGCCGAGGTGGTCAAAGGTCGGGACCGACGGATACGATCACGTACCTGAAGGGTCCGCGCCGTCCATCTCTTCCGGTGGCACGATACGATCCGGGTCAATGCCCTCTTCGAGCAACCGCGCGCGAACGTTTGCAATTATCTCGGCGCGAGCTTCCGCCCGGGCTTCTGCTCGGACCGCAGCCTTTCCTTCCGCACGTCCCTGGTTCAGAAGTCGCTGCTTTTGTGGTTCCAATAGATGCCGATTCAAAAATTCAGCGAGTACCATGGTAGCTCCCTTGATCTCTTTGGCTACTTGCACCAGTATGGTGTATATGCTGCCCGTAATGCCTAGCGCTATCACGCCGATAGCTATTTTGGTCAAGATAGGCGACGTTTCCAGGTCGGCAGTGGTGATCAGTCCGTACCATATTACCAGCGCATAGACGCCGCCAATAACAAGAATGCGGATGAGTCTGGCTAGGTATCGCAACCTTCGATCTGGCTCATTGGATTAGGCGAGGGCCGGCGCCAGCGAGACGGGATGGCAGGCCCGAGCCGATCATTGCAGGTTGTTACACGTACAGGTGATCGTAGATCGTAGATGCGTCGGGGGCTGGGCAGCATCGGCGAAGTCGGTGGCGTCGTTGACCTGCTGCTGGGCGTCGGCGCGGAACCCGTCCAGTTGTTCCTGGGTCAGTATGCCACGTTCCACCATCTGGGATGGGAAAACGGCGACCGGGTCAAACTGCCGCGCGGCGTCAAGGGCGTCACGGTCCCGGTAGCGGCGGTCGTCGTCGTCGGTGGTGTGGGGCATGAACCGCTCCACCTTCATCTCCACCAACACCGGTCCGACGCTGCGAGCGTGGGCTATCCCCTCTCGGGTCGCCTCGTAACAGGCGACGAGGTCCAGCCCGTCGATTACGAAACCAGGGAAACCGTAGCCTTCGGCCCGGGCCGCCACATCGCTGATTGCCATCTGCGAATCCATCGGCGTCGATATGGCGTACTTGTTGTTCTCGCAGATGAAGATCACCGGCACCCGGTGGATGGACGCGAAGTTCATCGCCTCATGGGTCTCGCCCTGGCTGGAGGCCCCGTCGCCGAAGTAGCAAATGGTTACCGTGTCTTCGCCCATCATCTTGCACGCCAGCGCGTAGCCGACGCTCTGGGTCAATCCGGCGGCGACGACGTTGGATATCTGGATGATGTTTCGGGGCAGGTCCGCACCCTGCAGCGGGAATTGTCGCGCTCCCGAGTAGGGCTCACCCTCTTTGCCCATGAAGGACAGCATCACCTGGCGCGGCGTGAGACCGGCCGCCATCTTGACGGCCAGATCCCGGTAATACGGGAAGAGGAAACAGTCGCCGTCCTTCTGCGCCGCCAGCAGAGAACCCAATTCCGCCGCTTCGTGCCCCTGGCATGACGCCGCGATGGGCACCTTGCCCTGCCGGTTCATCATCCAGATGCGTTCGTCCATCGTCCGCACCAGGATCAACTGGCGGCACACTTCAACCAGGTCGTCGGCCGTAAGCCCACCTGGCAGGGCCTCCGTGTCAGCGCCCATCCTGGCGACGGCTATTGCCCCGTTAGCGTCGGTTGCGTTGGCCTGCGTCATTGGGCTGGTCATCTCCTCGGCGCCATAAGCGTAAGTGGGCGGCCTCAGCCGCCGGGTCAATCATAGACCAAGCGGGCGGGAGTGGCAAACGGAAGATCGGCCCGCTACCGAGGGTGTACTGCATTGACTGGGTTTAGAGGATGGCGTGGTAAAACTATGGTACGATACAGGGGTGATTGGGGCTGGTTCCGACCGGCGAAGACTAGAATTCTTCGTTAGGGCCTTCGATGGATTTGGGCCGGTTGATGGTTTGGAGTGGTACGGATCCTCAACTTGGGTCGATGGGCAGCCACAGTCTGCGAAAAGCCCCGGACTACTCCGGGGCTTTCCCAGTTTTAATTGCATCATGGGAGAACCGCCAGACTGCCTAGGAACTTCGGTTTTGCCAGCGATTCCCACACCAGGTTGGGCTTGTCTGGATCCAGATAATTTCTGCCTATTGAATATGCGGTCAGGTCCGCGATTTGCAAACCGATCGAATTGCTTCGCTTGGGTGCGACCAAGATATCAATGCCCGGCATGGTCTTGCCAAGGTTGTTGTCGCCATCTGCGATCCGTCGAAAGGCGAGCCTCAAACTGGCATCCTCCTTGCGGCCTCTACCTTCGAGGATAATGTGAGCGATTGACTCGCTCTGTCCACGGCTGTCCAAAAACGTGTACGCCTGTTCCAAGCAACCACGTAACGCAAGCCCGTATGCGTCGAGGTAGGTGTGCTGTGAGAACCGGTGCATATCGATTGCGGTGGCAACAATCCTAAAATCCAATCGCGAGATTACTTTGTTCAGTTTGTCTTTGAAAGTAATTTGCTTTTGGGTGTTCTCGTCAAAATCGAAGGGTGCTTTCCCTCGATGAATGTCCTGCTCATGTAGCACCACCGCATCATGCCCAAAGTGCTCGAATTTGAACGCCGTCACCGCAGGTAGCACCGACGCGGCGTACTCGTCCTTTCGGAATACGCAGAAGTTGAGGACGAAAACGGGATAATGGGGGTCGATTGACCTGGGATTGGGATCTCCGCTCTCGTCTGCGAAGATGATGTAGTCGCTGTACCTCACTCTGCTACTGAGATAGCCATCACCCGACGTAAGTATTCCGGAACCGGTACAAGGTGAACTCAGGCTCCACCGGAGCTACTGGCATATACTCGTCGGCCTCTTCTATTTTGGCAACGATGAACCACGGGCCGGGCTCCCGCATGGCGCGGCCGAACGCCTCTTCCAGCGTTTCGAGGTCGTTCACGGTGGTCGTCTTCGTGATGCCGCAGGAGTTGGCGACCTCTTCCAGGTTGGTATTGGTGGCCGTGTGGCTGGCCTGGCCGCCGGTCTGTCCCCACATTTCGTTGTCCCAAACCACCACGACGAGGTTCGACGGGTTTTCCGCGCCCGATGGTGGCGATGGCGCCCAGGTTCATCAGCAGCGAGCCGTCGCCGTCCAGCGAGATAACCTTGTCGTCCGTGGACAGGGCCATGCCCAGGGCGATGGAAGAGCACAACCCCATGCTGCCGTAGGTGTAGAAGTTACGGTCCCTATGTCCGGCGTGGTAAAGCTCGTCGCTGGTGGGGCCCAGGTTGCCCACGATGGGCGAATTCCCGGCGTGGCGCAGGACCAGTTGGGTGGCGTCGAACCTAAGCAATTTTGCCTCCGTGAAGCATGGGGGTCATGCAGATGGCGACCGGATTGCGGTGGGCGTGGCACAGTTTCATCACGCCGTCCAGCAACGTGTCCAACCGGTCCTCGCTCTCGATGGTGTAGTTGGCGATGCCGAACAGGTCCAGGATGCGTGTGGTGTTGCGGCCCATGGCGACCTGGGAGATGTTGAACTCGCCGACCTGTCCGCGCAGGTTCATGAAGATGGGAATGGGCGTCCGCGCCGGCAGACACAGACTGGCCACCGCGTTGACACTGTTGCCGAACCCGCTGGACTGCATGAACACCGCGGCGTTGCGCCCGACGGCGTAGCTGCCCACCGCGACGCCGATGGCTTCTTCCTCGCGGGTACAGGAAACCAGGTGGAAGAACGGGTCTTCGTTGATGATGCTGGTCACCCGGTCGATGGAAATGTCGGGCACGTAGGCGATGAGCGACGTGTCCCACTTCTTCAGGGTGTCAACGATGGTCTCGGCCCAGGGCATGGGAAACTCCTTGCGTTTCAGATCGGCGGTCAGTATAGCCTATGCTGCGCCAACGGTCCGGGCGGCGGTACCGCGGAGCCCCCTACAGCCAGGCCGTAACCTCGTCCGCCGGCGCCCGCACCGAGGCCGACGGGCGTGACGGCTGTCCGATGAACAGCGCCCCCACCATCGCCCAGTCGGGTTCCCCGCCCAGCGTTTCCGCCAGCTGCGGATGTTTCGTGGTGTTACCCGTGCTCCAGTCGCCCGCCAGGCCCTCAGCCACGCCAGCCAGTAGCAGGTTTTGCACCGCACAGCACGCCGCGGCGTAGTTCTCCTGGGTCATTTCGTCGCTGTCGGCGGGTACGCTGTAAACGTAGACCAGCGCCGGCGCGTCCAGGACTCGCTGGCGGCTGCCGTCGGCGTTTTCGTGGTTGCCGCTCCGCCCGAACAGGTTGTCGTAAGCCAATTGCGCCACCTCGGCCCGTTTCTCGCCGCCCTTTTCCAGCACGAAAAACCGCCAGGGGTTGGTGAGGCGATGGTTCGGGCGCCCACACGGCCGCGTCCAGCATCCGTTGCAGCGATTCCCGGTCGGGAAGCACATCCGAAAACTCGTTGTTCATGCGGCGGTTGTGGATCGCCTCGTACACGCTGACTCCGGATTCCGGCGCCGTTACGTTTCCGCTCCGCAGTCGATTGGTCTGCGTCATTCGGTGCGCTCCTTTTTAGTGTCCAATCAAGCATCTCTTAAGTACGGGCACTGTAAACCTCTCCGCAGGTCTGCGGCAAGTGACCATGTACTTGGAACCTTTCTGCCATCGGGGCCGGCGCGGTCACCGCGATGACTTTGCTCACGGCGTGGCATACAATAGCGCCACCCCCCGTAGCCAGTCCCTTACTCCGGTTTCCGGCGGAGCGCGGAACCGGCTTATCCAAGGCAGGAATGCCAATATTTGACGCAGGAGGACAACATGGCCCTACAGTGGGAACACGTCGCCGGACCCTTCAGCCGCTTGACCGAGGGACCCGCCTGGGATGGCCGTCGCCTCCTTTTCACCCATATCCCCGCCAGCCGCATCATGGCCTACCATCCCGATACCGGCGAATGCACCGTCTATCGTGAGAACACCAACCACTCCAATGGCCTGGCGTTCGACGACGAGGGACGTCTCTACGGCTGCTGCTCCGGCGGCCGGGCCATCGTTCGCTTCGAGGCCAATGGCACCACTACCACCATCGTCGACCGCCTCGGCGACCAGCGGTTGAACACCCCCAATGACCTGGCCATCGACCGGCAGGGCCGCATCTGGTTCAGCAACCCCTGGAACGCCGTCAACATCGACCCCGGCGAGCAGCCCGAGATGTCTGGACGCGACATCCTGCGCGCCGACCCTCAGGCCGATGGTTCCTACACCTGCCAGCAGGTCACCTTCGACACCACCGGCACCAACGGCCTGCTCGTCTCCCCAGACGACCGGACCCTCTACATGATCCAAACCGATCCTGAGCCGGCCGGCGTGCGCGAGCTACGCTCCTACGCCATCAACGACGACGGATCGCTGGGCCAGTACGTCGTGCTCCACCAGTTCGGCACGGACCATCGCGGTCCCCAGCGGGGCATCGACGGCATGTGCCTCGACTCCGAGGGCAACATCGTGGGCACCGCCGGCAACTGGGCCAGCGGCCCCGGACCCATGATTTACGTGTGGACGCCCGAGGGTCGCGTCCTGGAGACTTATCCCATGCCCGTCGGCGTGGATATGCCCACCAACTGTTGCTTCGGCGACGCTGACCAGAGCAGCTTGTACGTCACCACGCTGGGCGGCCACCTGCTGCGCCTGCGCAACACCGGACGCCGGGGCTGGATAATGTGGCCGCCCGTGCGGTAACATCCGCTCGAAAACTGGTTTAGGGAACCTGCGGGCATGAAAACTCATTGGGGCTGACTTGACACAATTCACGAAATATCGGACGACCTCGGCCCAGTTTCTAGCCCAGGCATTTGAGGAACTGGAAAAAGGCGACCTCCTTCAGGGATCAGAGAAAGGCTGGGGAGCGGCGGCGCAAGCGGTGAAAGCCGTTGCCCGGCAGCGCGGCTGGGAGCACAAATCCCACGCCGATTTATTCGTAGTAGTCCGCCACTTGGTTGCTGAATTAGAAGACGAGGATCTCCACTCCGATTTCCATGCTGCCAGAGCCTTGCACATAAACTTCTATGAAGGCGATGAAACGGCAGAGGGAGTCAGGCACGGATTGGGACAGATCCAGCGGTTCGTAACAACTTTGGACCAACTACTGGATTGAATCCCCTGCACACCGGAGGTTTCTAATGGACGTTTTCAACTGCATCAGGACCCGTCGCACCGTGCGCGACTTTACCGACGCGCCGGTTTCAGACGCCGTGCTGCACAAGATGTTGCAAGCTGCCCGCTGGGCGCCCAGCTCCAGTAACACCCAACCGTGGCACTTCATCGCGGTCAGGGACCGAGACACTATCTCCGAACTGGGGCGCATCTGCACCCAGGGAACGTTTCATCGGGCAGGCGCCGCTGGCTATCGCGGTGGTGATGGGGGAAACGAGGCGTCCGCAACTCGACGCCGGCCGTGCCCTGCAGCAGATGGAACTGGTGGCATGGTCGGAGGGACTGGGGACCTGCTTCGTGGGCATACGGGGAGAGCAGCAGACCGAGGTCAAGGCGCTGCTGGACATTCCCGAGGACATGGAGCTGGTCACCGTGCTGCCCTTCGGTTACCGCGTCATGAGACCGGCGGGAACTGGGACGCCACGCAAGCCGATGTCGGAGATCACCCACGGGGAGCGGTTCGGACAGACGCTGACCTTTGCCGATTGAACGGGGCTCGCGCCTGGTGTGGGGCGGCTTCGCCGGACGAGTCAGGAACTTTGACGGCGGAGCCGCTCTTCCAGTTCGCTGATGCGGGCTTCGGCGGCAGCGCGCTCGGCGACGCGGGCCTCTCGTTCGGCGTTGAGTTCCGCCTCGGCGAGGTCGGCGCGGGACCGCTCGTCAGAGAAGGTCACAATGTGCCGGCCGGTCGCCGGGTTATACCACCCCAGGTGGCCCTGCTCCCAGCGGAGGTTCAGGTCCAGGACGGCGCTATAGCCCTGCAGGACGCCTTCTGCCACCTCCTCGATGGGGATGGATTGGTATTCACCGTCCACCAGGCAGTCGCCGGCCAGCCGGGGGCCGCGGCGCCGGAGGGTCTCGTCAAAGCGCCAATATTCCGGGATACCCAGCGTCCGCGTAATCGATGCGTTTGTCCGTAGCGTCGATGCGTCTGGTGCTGGGAGAGGCGACTTCCATGACGAAATCTGGCGGCTTGCCCTGGTCTGCGATGACGTAAGCCCGGCGGCGGTGATAGGTCGCCGGGTCCACGCCGAAAGCCATCAGCAGGTCGGGGTAACGCAGCCCGGTCATATCCCGGGTTGGCGCCAGGGCCAGGTAGCGCTCGCCGGCCACCAGGGTGGTTTCGGGGTTGCCGAAGTGGATGGCCAGATGGTGGACGTTGCCGTTGACGGCCAGGTGGTCAAAGTTGGTCATCTTGTCTTCGGGGATTTCCGGCGGGTCCGGAAACACCAAGAATTCCTCGGGCTGCTCGAGCTTGGTGATGGCGCTGTTGGCGGTGGTCATGCTGAACCTCTGAGCGCTTGGCGAGTTAGCCTCGTTTCCGACGCAATGGGCAGTGGCCCGATTATACCTGAACCGCTGCCTACCGCCCCTTGAACTCCGGCGCCCGCTTCTCCAGGAATGCCTGCCGCGCCTCCCGTGCGTCCTCAGAACCATTGAGGATGCCGCCGGCGTTGGACGTCAGGGTCATGGTGGTCTCCAGTGTGCTGTCCAGGGCAGCGCGCATGATGCGCTTGCTGATCCACTGCACCATGGGCGGCGTGCGGATGATCCGGTCGCACAGGTCGCGGGTGGCCTGTTCCAGTTCCTCTGACGACACCAGGTAGTTCAGCATGCCCCATTCATAAGCGCGCTGGGCGTCCAGGTGTCCGGTGTAGGCGAACTCCAGCGCCCGGCCCAGGCCGACCATCTTGGGCAGGTAGTAACTCCCGCCGTTCTCGATGATCTGCCCCAGCTGCTGGTAGCCGATGAACCGCGTGTTCTCGCACCCCAGCCGGATGTCGCAATGCAGCGCCATGTCCATGCCGGACCCCACGGCCGGGCCGTTGATCATGGCGATGGTCGGCTTGCGCACCTGCGAGATGTCCCGGTGCAGCTTGGTAAAGCCGTGGAAGAAGTGTTCCCGCGCCGCGTCCGGCCCCTCCGTGGTGCCACGGTTGCCCACGAAGTTCTCGCCGGTCAGGTCCGCCTGCGTGTCCCGCCGCATATCCGCGCCGGAGCAGAAGCCCCCGACCCACGCCGGTGAGCACCATGACCCGCACGTTGGGGTCATCGTCTCCCGCGCGCAGGTACTCACCCACCTTGGCGACGGTTCCGTTCTCCTCGGATGAGCCGATCAACGCGTTCATCCGTTCGGGCCGGTTGAACTTGATCCATAGGATGCCCGACTCCTCGGGCTCGTAAAGCAGGTAGGGCACCAGGTTCGGTGTCATGGGTTGCTCCTTTGTGGTCGCGGATGTTTCCGATTCACTACCGGGAGATTGCCATGTTGTGGCCCGCGGCGCAACGTAGATCTGCCCCGGCTTCCGCCGGATCCGGCTCCACGACCGCACTATCCGGCCCGTGCGCCACGCGGCGGCGTCGGGCGGATCAGGTCCAACCGATGATCGATCTGACTACCTTCTGCGCAGCACCAGGTAGAGGAAAATACCGCCGATCATTGCGCCGATGACGATGAGCAGGATGATCAGCGTATTGCGGTCTCGCAGCGTGTTGGCCGCGCCCACGAGGGTGCTGCGAACCCGTTCCGGCACCGTCTCCGCCTCCGGCGTTGCCGGTGGTATGACCCCGTCTTCGATCACAAACGCCGCCGTCGGTACGGGCACGAGTGTGAGCGTCGGTGACAGCATGGCCAGAGCCGGATCCGTCGTCGGCTCCGGAGTCGGAACGGTGTTGGAGTATTGGTGGGTCCCAAGGCGGACGCTATGACCGGTGCTGGCGTAGGCGTGGCGTTGGCGTTGGGGTTGTCGCCGACTCCGGTTCCGGTGTCGCCGTCGGTTCCGGTGCCAGCGTGGCCGTCGGCTGTGGAGTTGGCGCCACCGTGACGGTTGGCAATGCGGTCGGCGTCGGCGCTGCGGTCGGGGTTGGCAATGCAGTCGCGGTCGGCGCGGCCGTTGCTGTCGGCGCCGCGGTTGGCTTGCGAGGCGGCACCGCCCGCGTGCTCCTCACCACCGGGGGATCATCGTCGTCATCGTCGTCCGGCACCGGCGTCGGGATCAGAGTCGGCGGTCGTGTGGGTTCCGTGGTGGGTGTCTCGGTAGGTTCCGGTGTGGGCGTCTCGGTAGGTTCCGGTGTGGGCGTCTCGGTGGGTTCCGGTGTGGGCGTCTCGGTGGGTTCCGGTGTGGGCGTCTCGGTAGGTTCCGGTGTGGGCGTCTCGGTGGGCTCCGGTGTGGGCGTCTCGGTGGGCTCCGGTGTGGGCGTCTCGGTGGGCTCCGGTGTGGGCGTCTCGGTGGGCTCCGTGATGGGATCCTCGGAGGGCTGCTCACTGCCACCGCCGCCGCCGGTGCTACCACTGTTTTCGGTGATGGGGCAGACAAGAACTCTGTAACTGTCTCCGTGGACACGACGGTGCTCGGAATTGCAACCGTTGTCTCCTAAACTGAAGCCAAGGTGAAATCTACATTCGCGGGATGGGAAGGGTCGGCTTGAGTGCTGGCAGTCAGTTCTGCTGCTCGAGCCTGAAGCACGGTCTGGCATCGGCGCTTGACTTCGTCGCATCGGCTGGACAGGCTGGCGAAAAAGTCGCCCACCTTCTCCTGGACTGCGGCACGGGTCCCCAGGCACAGGTTGGCGGTCACCTCTTGACGTACCCAGCCCCAAATAGCCTCGTCGGCGTTGAAATCTGGGCTATAGGTGGGCAGGTTCACCAAGCGCAGGTTCAAGTTGGGGTTGGCCAGGTAGGCTCGCAGCGCGTCGCCCCTATGAGCTGGGGAATTGTCCCAAATCACCGTCAACGGTTCGGTGTGTTGCGCCCGCAGTTGACGCAGGAAGGCAACCGACAGGAAGGCAACCGAGGTGGTGGAGTTGCTGTTACCTTCCAGTTCCAGCAACTCCACCTCTCCGGTTTCCAGACACACCGCCGAGTAGTAGCTCGCCTTCTCCCCACGTCGCGGGCTGGTGGAGTCCACCAGCGCCGGTTCACCCTTCAGCACCCATTTGGCCCGCAGATCCGCATCCGCCCGAAGTGAGCCTCGTCAGCGAAGAATATCTTGGCCCCAGTTCGTCGGGCGCGCCGCTGTCAAGGCATGTACTCCCTCACAAAGCCTTCCCGCCGTACCGGGTCTGCCTTGACCAACCGCTTCTTGGGACGCTTCAGGACAAAGCCCAACCGGTGCAGGTAATTCAGGCAACCACTCCGGCTCAGCGTCAACCCGAAGCGTTCCTCTACCAACCGGCGCACCGCCTTCCAGTTCCAGTTGGACAAATCGATGCCAGCTTGCGACGGCAATTCCTGCACCGCCGCCTTCAACTCGGCCTGCCGCTCCCGGTTCAATGCGGGGGAACCTCCTGACTGCTCAAAAGCCAGCGCCTCAGGACCACCCTCCCGGAATGCCGTGGCCCATTGGCCAATAGTGTGGGCGTCCCGTTCCCACGCCCACGGCCGCGGCCGCGGCCGTCCAGCCTCGCGCCAGCAACCACACCGCGTGCCACCGTTCCCGCTCCCGAGGCGTCGGCGCTCGGTACATCCGTCGTCGTACCGCAGCCTCATCCATGCGCCACCGCTCCAGCAGCGCTCCCATCTCCAGCATACCCACCAGCAACCCCCGGCAACTTCCCAACCGATCCTCTCAATTCCTTCCAATTCTATCCTAACCAAGTGCGGGTTTCACCTTGGCTTCGGTTTAGGTATTCATCGTTTTCGAGTTCGTCGTATTTGTGGCCGTCGTCCTCAGTGCCGTGGTGGTGCGGATGCGTCACTTTGTCCGTCCATAGTGCGCGATCCTTGTACTCCAAACTGAGTATCTTGTCTCGCGTTAGGCAGCCTGTGGATCCCCAGAAATTGCTCTTGGTGTTGTGAGTGTGTCCCGCCCAGCGGTCGTCAACGCATTGTGTGCCGTAAAAGTAGTCCTGAGCCCTGATCAGGGAAGGAGACATCAGCACCATCGCAAAAGCGATCGACACCGCGGCGATGGCAACTGCCAGCACCGCCACACGAACCAGCCATTGGGACCGACTACCCATCAGCGAAGCGCTCCAGAAATTTTATGATCGGACTTACACAACGCGCGCAACGGCTTACCGGTAACAGGGCATGAGTGGTCGGGCGCATCGCCAGTGCGACGGCAATTGTATCGCGCAAATCGCAGAAGACATCACCTTGCGCGTGTGCATTCCCAGATAGGACAATTCGTGCGGCCCAGTTACATGTTGCGACAGGTGCGCCTGCGAAAATCCACGCTTGGTCATAGTCCCAAGTCCCGCGGGGGTGGCCCAAATCCGGTCAACTGTCCGAACGAAATATCTAAACTGGACTTTGCGCATTTCAGGCGGCGTAAGCGAGGGAATCCACCAATCGGTGGTACAGAGCGGTGGGGAGTTCTTGCGTATCGGGGTCGCTGGGCGACCGGGGGAAACCCTCCGACGCCAGCCACAGGTGGCGGCGCACCAGGGCGATGGCGTCGACGAAGGTCGGCGACGGTTTGTCGTACCAGGCCGCTCTACGCTGGATCATGGGGTGGCGTTCTTGCAGCGCGTGGGCGGCCAGGGTGATCCAGGAAAAGAGTCCCAGCAGGACCGGCGTGGTGCGGGTGATGGCCAGGTCGGACCACTGGCGCTGGGTCTCCACGCCCAGATGGGTCCGCACCTCCTGAAAAGTGACCTCCAGTTGCCAGCGCAGCACGAACCATTCCAGGATCTGGCCATCTGGCCATTCCAGGACAGGATCTGCGTCGGGTCTGCCGACGGGTCGGTGCACAGCAGGGCCTGGGGCGCGAAGGCGCCCTGTGGGTCTCGGATCAGCACCCAGCGAATGCGCACCGGGGGTTTGCCCGAGCGGTACCAGACTGCGGTCTGGGAGGTGAGTTCCACAGTGCGGGTGGCGCCGTCGTACCAGCCCACCGTGGCGCTGGTCCAGGTTACCTGAGGCTGGTCAGTAGCCGGGGGCTGCTCAAGGAGCGCTTTCAGCGAGGGTCGTCGTGCGCCCTTCAGCGCTGGGCGGCCGTTCTGACCCGGTTGACGGGGTGGCGCGGGCGCATAGAGGGCGGCATCCAGGCGCAGTCTGGCGATCAGGGTAACGGGTTCCGACAGGGACTGGCAGCAGTGCAGCAGGTCGAGCACAGCGTAGCCGTTGTCCCCCACCAGCACCAGCGACCGCTGCGGCAGCCAGCGGCGCAGTTGCAGGACCATCTGGCGTGCCCAGTCGGTGAGCTTCTTGTGCCGACGTCCTCTCTCCTGATAGTACCGCGCCGATGGCGCCAGCACCGTGAGCACCGGCAGGGCCCAATGGCGTCCCGCCCAGGGCACCTGGCCCAGCCACATCAGGGAGATCCAGCGCAAACCACTGGCTTTGACCACTTGGGAGCGGCTGGAACGCACCGCATCACGGTAAACGCCCAGAGCGCCGATGCTACGGCCCCGACGCCGCTCCAAGGTTTCGTCGACGCCGAAGATCAGGGGGCCATCGCCGCGATCCAGGTGCTGGAGCAACAATACCAACAGAATACCCGCGGCCGCACGGGGCGACCACACCGCCCGGTTGAGCACCTCATGGTAGCGGGCGAAGTCGCCGTCATCGCTGCGACCCATGACCCGCAGCGCCGCGGCCACCGTGCGCTGGCCTGGCGCCAGTATCGCGCCCACCAGCAACACCTGCGCTTTGCGCCAGGTTGGGTTGCTGAACAACGTTGCGAAGGGAACGAGAACGGCTACAATGGCATCGGGCAGGGTGAGCATGGCTGGACCTTTCGTCGAAAGTGGGGTCAGGCCATCTTACCCTGTCCTTATTCTTTTCCTAAAAAATGCGCAAAGTCCAGCTAAAGCCGTGACTGGAGGTCAGCCGTGCAAAAGGTTCCGGTCCGGATGCACCCGTCCGGCGAGTCATACTCAGATCACACGTCACAGCGCACTGCGCCGATGTGACCCCGCGACGCGGGTTTGAAGAACCTAATCGACCAATTAATCTTGTGCGTCGACTTGGTCAGACACTCGATGCCAACCGCGGCTCATCTGGGAACCTGCCTTCCCGGCGTGCCCAATGAGTGGGCATGGGTCGGCTGGGGCTGGAACACCGGTGTATGCCAGTCTATCGCGTCGGTCCGGTATGTCCCGGATGAGTGGTTAATCGTTTCCGGTGCCCATATGGGGCGCTGCGGTCAGCATGGCAACTTATCGGCCACGCTTTTGGACAATTTTATGCTTCTACCGGTTGGTCGCTATCCATCCATTCGGCATAGGATCCGTCGTAGAGGCTCACCGTGTGCCCTGCCTGGTCGAGAGCCAGCCACGTTACGGCGGCGCGGATTCCGCTGCGGCAGTAGGCTATGACCGGTTCGCCTTCCGCGATGCCGGCGGCGACCAGCCGTTCCCGCACGGTGTCCTGACCGCAATACAGGTTGCCGTTCGCACCCGCGAGGTCGGCATGGGGCAGGCTTACTGCGCCGGGGATATGACCGGGGCGATGGTCCATCTCCACCTCGCCGCGGAACTCCTCGGGCGTGCGGGCGTCCACCAGGCTGGCGGATCCCCGGCCGGCCACGTCATCCAATGTGGCGCGGATGCCAGCGTTGAGCCTGACCGTGAACCTGGCTGCGCTGGTGGGCACCGGTCGATACAGGACCTCTCGACCACGCTCTTTCCACGCCTCGTAACGCAGTTCCATGATGTGGACATCACTGCGCCCCAGGTACTCCAGCACCCAAGCCGCCATGGCGGCGTTGCGCCCGTCCTGGTGGTCGTAGAGGATGGGCGTAACGTCGTCCCCAAGGCCGGCTTCGCCAAAGACGGCGGCAAGCTGCTCGGGCGAACCCAGTTGCCCATCCAGCCCCTGGAGTTTCTTGAACGGGACGCTGACGGCCCCGCGCAGGTGACCCATAAGGTAGCGCATGGCCGACCGGGGATCGATTATCCGATAATCCGGTTGACCGATGCGCTCCGCGACCCAGTCAGCAGATACGAAGGTAACCATCAGCCTACCATTTCGAATTCGGTTTCCACCGATGTCGGGTTCGCCACCGACTGGGTCACCGGTGAGCCTTCCACCGCCAGCCGCCAGATCTCCCGCAAGGTGTCCTCGTCGGCATCGGCGCGGACGAAGCACTTGGCCGAGATCTTGCCGTAGCCGGGGTTGCCCTCGTCTTCCACGCCGGCCCACTTGCGGATGTTCTCGAAGTATCCTTCGACGGCGACCTCGAGGTCGTGGATGCGCACGCCCTGCTTGGTGGCGTTGACCACGAAGCCGACGGTCATGCAACTGCCGATGGCGGACAGCAACTGCTCATGGGCGCTGGCTGCGACGTCGGTGGCGGTTAGATCGCCAGGCTCGTCCATATCAACCTGGTGGTTGCGCATGTAGGCGCGGGCGCGCATACCGTCCTGCCACACCACGCGAGACTTCCAGGGGCCAGTTACCGCGCTGAAAACTTCCGGGTCCCGGAAGGAATCGAGCACTTCAGTCAGTTTTTCCCGGGGCAGACCGTTGAGGTTTCCTTCCTGCGTCATGTCCAGCTCCTATTAGGTGATTGGGATGTTTCCAGTCTGTCGTGGTTGGTGCGCAATCATGCGAGACGCGCCAACTTATCCAAAAACAACTCGACATCGGCCAAGCCAGCGGCTACGTGGGCTGGTTCGTCCAAGTCCTCGTAGAAGTTGGTATGCATATCGCTGGCGACCCGGTAGAGCCGTCGAATTTCCACATCGCCGGTTTCTTCGGCCAGCCGTCCGACGACTCTTCCTAACGCCACATGGCGCTTGTGCTCCCAACCTCGTTGTTCGGCGACGGATTTGAGCATCTGCGCGGCGGCGCCCCAGCCTTTTTCGGAGGCTTGTCGCGTGTCTCCCCTCGCCAGTTCTTCCAGTCCTTGCGCCATCAATCTGCGGCTGGCTTCCTGGTAAGTTTGAGCTACCATGATCTATACCTAACCGGCGTACACCTGCGGGAACGGCGGGCTAAGCGTACTCGGCGCGGAGGATCTCCGCCGCTTCGGTGATCACCTGCATCTTCTTGGCGGCCATTTCGTGGGTGTTGACGTTGCGCTCGGCGAAGGTGCCGAAACCGCAGTCGGGATTGAGGTAGATCTTGTCGGCGTCGAAGTACTGCAGCAGTTCCTTGACCCGGGCGACGATCTGGCCGGCCGGCTCGATGTCGTCGGTGCGCGGGTTGACCACGCCTAGGCCGATCTCCTTCTCGTTGCTGTATTCCTTGAAGACTTCCATCTCGCCGGCCCGCGGCGTGGCGCACTCCAGCACCAACTGGTCGATGTTCATCTGGACCAGGTAGGGGAGCATGGGGCCGTAGTTGCCGGTGAGCAGAACCTCTTCCTTTTTGCTCCAGTTCCCGCGGCAGATGTGTACGCCGGTCTTGATGCCCTCGATGCCCTCCAGCGTTTCGTTCATCAGGCGAACCGCCATCTCCAACTCATCGGTGGGGTCGCGCCGGTTGGGCAGCGCAGCGCACATGAAGGTTTCGGTGGTCTCTTCGCCGAACACCACCTGGGAAAGGGTGGGTTCGTCCAATTGCACAAAGTCGCAGCCCTGGTCGCGCAGGGCAATGATCTCCTCCCGCAGAATCTCGACCACGTCCTTGGCCAGATCGTCGGGGGAGGGATATGCCTTGTCCGACAGGCCCTCGAACCAACTGGAGCGGGTCAGCATATAGGGGCCGGGCAACGGCACCTTGATTTGGCGGTCGGTGTGCTCGCGCATGAAGGCCAGCTCATCCAGCGCCAGTCCCTGCTTCTTACCAATCCGGTCCACCACGATAGGGCTCTTGATGGCAAAGGAGGGGACGTCAAGCGCGCGCAGCACCTCTTCCATGCGGGCCCGGTCGGTGGAGTAGTCCAGCAGCTCCGACACCTTCATCAACTGCATGCCGGTGAGCTTGTCCACCGCGAAGGAGTAGAAGTTGTCCCGACGTTGCTCGCCGTCGCTGATGATGTCGACGCCGGCCTCTTCCTGGGCACGGATGCACGCGAGGACTTCGGCGTCGGCCATTGCACTGAACTCCGCGTAGGTGATTTCGCCAGCTTCCTTGCGGCGCAGAGCACGGATCAGCTCGGTGGAGCGAGGCCAACTACCGACCACGGTAACGGGGAACAGGGGTGCGTCCGCCATGGGTGTCCCTCCAGGACTGCGATATTCTGATGAACGGGGCGGCGGATTCACGGCGCGTGCCGCACCCATCGCCGTCGAATAATCTACACCAGAAACCGCGCAACGTACAGATTAACCGCCCAGCGTTTAGCCCCGTTCCAAAGTCACTGCGAGCGCAGCATGGCAATCTGTTCCGAGCGTTTAGCCCCGTTCCAAAGTCTGCGAGCGCAGCATGGCAATCTGTTCCGAGCGTTTAGCCCCGTTCCAAAGTCAGTGCGAGCGCAGCGTGGCAATCTCGTCGGCTTGGAAAACACGTTTGGGCATGGTCAGTCCCGAAACCGACTGCCACGTCGATACGCTCCCCGCAATGCAAGACAAATTTGGCAAGGCCTCGCCCAGCCTGCGCTAGTGCTGCCCGATGAACTCCAGCGCCAAGCCGTTCCACACCTGCGGGCGTTCCCAGTGGCCGGCGTGGCCGGCGTCAAGTAGGGAGACGAACCTGCTGGTGGGAATGTGTTCGTCCAGCATACGCATCAGTGCCGGCGGCGAGAGGATATCGGCATTGCCGGAAAATACCAGCGTTGGGACGCGCATGGTGGCGAGGCGGGCGTAGGTGATGGGTTCGCGCAGGGGTTGGGTCGGCAGTCGTCCGTAGGGACGGCTGGCCAGCTCTATATCCAGCCAGCGTTGCGCACCCTCCGGGTCCGTGCCTCGGTAGGATGGACCCAGTTCGCGCAGTTCCACGGGCAGGTCCTGGATCTCCTCGGGCCGCAGGCGATGCTGCACTTCCAGGTACTCGGCATCCTGCACGCCGCCGATGGTGTTGGCCGCCACCAGGCTGCGGACCCGCTCCGGGTGAGACAGGGCGTAGTCGATGCCGGTGATGCCGCCGGCGGCGGTGGCCACCAGGTGGCAACGCTCCAGGCCCAGATGCTCAATGAGGCCGTGGAGGTCATCGCCCTGATAGCCCGGCTGCTGAGTTTCATCAGTGTTGCGGGAACGCCCCCAGGTGCGGCGGTCATAGGTGACGCAGCGGTAACCGGCGGTGGTGAAGGCCGGCAACTGGTGGACCCAGGCGTCGCAGGTGCCCGAGGCGGCGTGGAGGAAGATTACCGGCACGCCGGAGCCCCCGGTGTCCTCGTACCAGAGGTCGACGCCCGGGAGGCTTACATGAGGCATCTGGTTAGTCTTGCCAGTGTGGCGGCAGGCTGGGCTCGGCCATACCAAATTGGCGGGACAGCCATTCCTCGCTGTATCGGCCGTCCCGGTAGCCGGAGTGTTCCGCCTTATGCACTTCGGTATCGCCAGGGATGGACCGGATCAGCGGGTCGAGAGCCGCGGCGTCCAGCGCAGAGCCATCCGCGCCGGCCATAATCAAGGTTGTCGCCTGAACCCTTGACCCAAACCAGCGCAGGTCAAAGTAAGACAGCGTGCGATGCACTGCCTCCCGGCGGGTGGGATACCGGCGCAGGTAGTCGTTGATTTCCTCCAGCGGGTAGGCGCTGGTGCGCGGGGCCACGTCCGCGGTGGCGTACAAGAGAGCCGGTGAGCACACGAGGTGCGTGACCAGCGGGCACAGGGCCGCCGTGGTCAACGCCAGATCGTTGCCAATGGCCGCGACGCGTGTCTCGTCCACCTCTGGACGTGAGGCCAGATACTCCACGCCGCGCACGCAGTCGGCGACGATGCCCCGGTACACGTAAGCGGCAGGGTCTTCGATCCCGTCCGTGAGCAGGCCGGGGAAGCTGGAGGCGTAGGGTTGGTCGGCCAGGCGCTGGCCGCGCACGCAGATGGCGAAGGTAACGTGTTCCCGGCGCTGACCGTTGGCAGTACCCTGGGGCACCAGGTCCACCACGCTGCCGTAGCGGGGCAGGTAGTAACGGGCCGGGAAGGGACCGTCTCCGTGAGGAATGCTCAGGTAGGCGTAGAGCCGATAGGGACCAATGGACGTGAGCTTCACCCCATAGGCGGTAGCGAAATCCGCTGAGCGCAGGGGTATTTCCTGCACTTCCGGAGCGGCCGGCAATCCGGCCAATTCCGCCAACGTTCCCTGCCAGTAACTGTCGAAGTCAGCCGGCCTTGAGCCGTTCGATGTGGTCATGCCGTCAAATCCATCAGTGTTGGAGGTGTTTCGCCAAAAACGCGTCCACCACGGCCGCGTGTTCGTGGTTGTTGGCGTCGTGACCATGCCCGTCGTAGCCGTAAATCTGCTTGTCGGAGCTGGCGATGGCGTTGAACATCGCGTAGCCCGTCTCCGGCGGGCAGGTGCTGTCCTGCAGGCCCACGCTGACGATGATCGGACAGGTGATCCGGTGGGCCAGGTTGATGCCATCGAAGTAGGCGAGGGTGTCCTCCACCTGTTGCCGGCTGTCCGGGTTGAGCCGCAGATAGTCTGCGATCTCCTGGTACGGGTAGGCGTCGGTCAACTCGATGGCATCCATGTAGCCGCAGAGGTACGGCGCGCCCGCCGCCGCCGCCGTGATTTCGGGGCGCAGCGCCGCCGTGGACACGGTCAGTCCGCCGCCCTGGCTGTGTCCGGTGATGCCGATGCGGGCGCCATTGACTTCATCCCGCCCCAGGAGGAAATCCACCGCCCGACAGGCGTCCATGTAAAAGCCCCGGTAGGAGTAGGTGTTCCGGTCCACCATCCCGTAGGTCAACAGGCCAGGATAACCGGGGTTGAACTGGCGGTTGCTCCGCAGCTTTCCGCGGGGAGCGACGCTGAACGCGGCATACCCCCTGGCGGCCCAGTTCTTGGGCACCGGGGGCTCCATGTTGTACCCAGGGACCTGGATCAACCCGGGCAGCCGGCCTTCGCGCTGGCGGGGGACGGCGTACCAGCCGGCAATACGCACACGATCCAGGCTGGTGAAAAAGACCTCGTAAACGTCGATGCGCGCCGTCGACCGGAGGGGGTCATATACCACCTCCGGTTCCAGGTCAATCTTGGCGGTTTCGGCCAGCACATCGTCCCAGAACCGGTCGATGTCGTCCGGTTTGCGAACTTTGGTCACGTACTGGTCGGCAGCTACCTTTGGCATTTCGTCCCCATTTTCTCATTGCAAGCGCGGTGTGGCAATTCCGTAGCCCCCTCACGCGTACCCACTTTCCCTCAAACTGTCATAGCAAACACAGCAACGTCACCCGTACTTGATACGACGGTGGCAATCTCGTAGTCGCAGGGGTCGTCGCTCAGGCAGCGGGATTGCCATGTCGCTTTCGCTCGTCGCAATGACAACTGGAAGGCCCTGTCCAATGCCGTGCTGCATCTCCGGAAACCAGGCAGCGCCATCGCCGCAGTTCGACTACGATGGTCTCATGTTAAGCCATGTTCATCCAGAAACTCCACAATCATTGCTGCGCATTCTTCCGGAAATTCCAGCGGCAGGAAATGGGTTGACCGCGGAATGAAATCGTAATCCATCGCGACCAGATTGCTCAGGTCCATAGCCGGCATAAACGAGTACGGCATCGTCGGGTCGGAACCGATTGCCTTCACAGGACAGGAAAGGCCCTGGCGTTCCAGAGTGTCGTGCAATTGTATCGCCCAGCCGAATCCGTACTCGTAGATTTGGGCCTCGTACTCTGGCGGGCAACAGAGCTCATACCCACCCCACGGGGACGCCCGCAGCGTGGTCCGACCGAACAGTTCCAGCGTCCCCGCGGGTATAAGCCGAAAGGATGGGGAACGGGAGAGCGCCTTGGTCAGATCTTGGCGACGGCCGAACTGCGTTATGCGCTGGCGTGCCCGTTGCGCCGCCACGTCGCCAATGGCCGCGAGGTCACCCGGCGACCGCCCCGGCGGGCACACGGGCAGGTCTAGCAGGGCCAAGCCGGCAAAGGTGCTCCTGTCGGCCATCTGGCTGAGCAGCGCCGATATGCCCGATGCGGAGTGAAAGACGCCGATGAGGGGCTTTTGGCCAAAGCGGGCGGCTATGACCGCGGCGATATGTTGGTGGTCGCTGACGAAGGCGGGGAAGTTATGCGTCCGCCGCTCCCAGACCGGATTCCAGCCGTGGTTGCGAAGGTCGTGGAGGATGAGATCGAAGCGGTCAGTCAGCAGTGACCACAGCGGGTAATAGAGGTCTGCGGCCAGTCCGTTGCCGTGGCTGAACACTATGCGCGGCCCGGAGGGGTTGCCATGGCGACGCAAGACGACTGAGGTGCCGTCGGGCATGCGGATTTCCGCCGTCTCCCGCGGCCTGGGCACTGCTGTGTGGTGTGAAGATGACATTATCGTGTGGAAATTTTAATGTCGTTTCTGCGGCCATTCCGCTGCTTTAGGTCCGGTATCGTCATCCAATTGCGATACCGGGTCCTCGGCCGGCAATCCGTCGGCCGGCGTGGTACGTACGCCGCTTTTACGCGGTGTCCTCCACCGGCATGGTGGCGATGCCGTAGGTGCCATAGAAGAAATTGGCGTAGTGAGTGGAGCCGCCCGTTACGAACAGCAGGTACTGCTCCGGGGTTTCCAACGCGGGGATGGTGGCGTCGGGATCGTCGGCCAGGCGCTGCAATTCCCGATGGCGCAGCCACTTGCCGTCGGCGTCGGCAGGCATTCCGGCGGGGCCGATGGCGTCTCGCAGCGAGGCACGGCAATGCTCGTGCAACCACTCCTGGGTGTCCCGCTTGCTGAAGCCAGCCTCGGCCAGGATCACCGCGCGGGATGGGCTGAGAATGACGGGATGATAGGGGCTCTGGTACTCAACCCGCTGATTGGTGTGCCCCACCTGGGCAGACTGCCGGCCCTTGATCCAGCTTCCACCGCCGGCGTGGCGGTAGAACATCATGGAAGCGATGTTGTTCAGCGTATCCTCGTGGTTCTTCGAGGCGTTGTCGAGAATATCGGTGGGGCCGGTGACGGTAATCACGGTGACCGCGCTTTCGTCCGGTCGGAACCCCTTGTCCACATGATAGGGCTGCCAGGGACTGACCTCTTCGTTCTCGGCGATGCACATGCCAAACTTGGTGGGCAACCCGATGAAGTTCGGGTCGCCGGCGCCGGCTTTACAGTAGCCGATGTTGATCAGACACAGACGCAGAGCGCGGCCGATGGCGGTGTTGGCCTTGTTGACTACACCCGGACCCATGGCCGACGTGCCGCAATTGATGCCCGCCCTGGCGGCGGCAGGGCCGTTGACCAGGATGAGCGGAGCCTCGGTGTGGCCGGACACCTGCATGTCCCGGTGGTTCATCTCGGGTTGGGCGATACACTCGAGGGCGGCCAGCAGGATGGGGAACTGCGCGGGTTGGCAACCGGCCATCACCGCGTTGATCGCTATTTTCTCGACGGTGGCCAGGCCGAAGCCGGGCTCCATCACCATCACCACGTCCTGCGGGTCACGCCTGGTGCCTTTGAGCATGGCCTCCACGGCGGCCGGCGTCGGCGGAACGATGGGCATGCCGTCGCTCCAGTCGCGCTCTTCCATAAAACGATTGACCGCGTCCAAGCCAGCGGCGTGTCGTCCAGTTCCACCGTGAACACGTCGGTCTCGCTGTGGCCGTTGACGCCGCCGGAAAGGTCAGCGGACGCGGACATCCGGGTCAAACCGAGAATGATGTTATCGATTTGCTCGTCCACCATCTTGTGGATATAGTCGGGCTGCTGTCCGGTGCAAGCGTGGGGGATGGTGACAAAAGCGGTGGAGGGCTGTCCCCAGCCATCGACGCAGGACTGCCAGGCCCGGGCGAAACTGCGGGCGGCGATGCCAACTGCGGGCACGCCGGCCTTTTCCATGGCAACCATGTCGTGGGCAAGCCACGACGTGCAGCCCCCTCAATGGGCGGCGGCGCCCACCATTGCGTCAACCTCGGTGGCAATGACTGCCGCTTCCTCATCGTCGATATGCACGCCACGGCTCAGCACTGGCCGGCCGTCCCGCAGGCTGCCGCCGTAGCTCTCGAAATTCACGTTGGGAAAGCGGCGGCCGAGGTGCTCGGCGACACGGTTGACGGCCACCTCGGCTCCCCCGGTCATATTGTTGTAGAGGCCGATGGTCTTGCCTTCCAGGGTTTCCAGACGGGGGGCCGGCGGGACCTTGAAGTCGACGCGCGCCGCGGCCGGGGACATGATCTGCAGCTTCATCCTGGTTCTCCTCCCAAGTGGTTCTCCTCCCTATCGGAGCTCTAAAGACGTGCGAATTGGGGGCAGTCTATTTGTCGGTGACAGTTCCGTCAACGCACCGGGTCAGCCGGCGGAGTTCAGTCACCGCGCTGGGAGCGAGACACTTGCAGACGTGCCTTGCACATCGACAACATGGAATGGCGAAAATATCGCCACTGTTGGGGTCGGGATCAGACATATGTGCGATGAACCGACTGGGCCCAGGGTACACAAAATTCGATTCGATGATACAATTCACCGACACTCGGCAAGAGCCACTGGCGCGGGGCATTTCGGTGTTCACCAGTGCCTCCAACTAACTGCCAGCGCAATTCAGGAGACAGCATCATGGCAATTGATTTCCAGAGGAATCAGGGCACTTTGATCATTGAAGCTGCCGAACGCGTGGACAGTACCAACGCGCAGCGCTTCCTCGAAGATCTGGATGCAGCGATCGAAACCACTGACCAGGTCGTGATCCTCGACATGGAGAAACTCACCTATATCAGTAGTGCGGGGCTCCGGGTGGTTCTGCAGACCGCAAAAACCTTGCAGCGGCAGAATTCTGGCTTCGCGCTGTGCGCGCTGACCGGTACGGTACGGGAAGTTTTCGAAATCAGCGGTTTCGACCAGGTCATTGCTATCCATCCGTCGCAGGAAGAAGCTATCGCAGCGCTGAAGGGTTAGCCCTTTTCAGGTTCGACCGGCTTCGCGACCCGAAATACATGGTGAACGGGCGCAGATGCCCGTCAGGGATGGAATTATGGCAGATACCTCAGGGCCATACCGGATACTCGTGGTCGACGATGAGCCTGACTTGGAGCCATTGGTATTGCAGCGGATGCGACGGGCGATCCGCTCGGGGACGTTACCAATTCGTCTTTGCGCAGAATGGGGTGGAAGCGCTCGAAACGCTCAATCAGGACAACGAAATCGATATGGTGTTGTCCGACATCAACATGCCCCAGATGGATGGGTTGGCGTTGTTGTCGCATATACCCGAGGTGGCGCCCGACATACATGCCGTGATCATCTCCGCTTATGGAGATATGAAAAACATTCGCTCCGCTATGAACCTTGGGGCGTTCGATTTCGTCACCAAACCGGTCGATTTTGAAGACCTGCGAATAACCATTGAGCGGGCGTTGACCAACCTTGAAGCGTGGCGAGCGGCAACGGCGTCACGGGAGCGGCTGGTCGCCTTGGAAAACGAGCTCGACGTCGCCAACAAAATGCAGCAGTCGATCCTGCCCACGGAATTCCCTCGTTTCCCAGGATTTCAGATACACGGGAGCATGACCCCCGCCAGGGTGGTGGGAGGCGACTTTTTCGACGTTATTTACCTGAACAACGGTCGCATCGGGCTGGCCGTAGCGGACGTTTCGGACAAGGGGGTGCCCGCCGCGCTTTTCATGATGGCCAGCCGCACCCTCCTCAAGAGCGCGGCCATGGGGCTCAAGTCCCCGCGCGAGGTCCTCTCTGAAGTAAATGACCTGCTGTACGACGATAACGACGCCATGATGTTCGTCACCCTTTTCTACGCGGTGTACGATCCGACGACCGGTGAAATGAACTACGCCAACGGCGGTCACAATGCTCCTCTCGTCGTCCATGTTGATGGCACTTCGACGGTGCTGCCTGGTACCAATGGGATCGCGTTGGGCGTAATGCCGGGCATGAATTATGACGAAACAACGATCTCCATCGCCGCGGGCGATACCGTTGTTTTCTACACTGACGGTGTCACCGAGGCCGTGAATGAGGGCGACGAGGAATTCGGGATGGAGCGGCTGAAGCAGGTATTCACGTCTCATCCGGTCCGGGAGGCTGACGAGGCCAGCCAGGCCGTTTTTGACGCCGTGAACCAGTTCGCCGGGAATGTCGCGCAGTTCGATGACATCACCTGCCTCATCTTCCGCCGCAATGAGACGGTACCATGATCACCCCAGTGGTTTTGAAGATAACGCCCAGCCATGAGCAGCTTGAATTGATCCCGGTGGCCCTCGAAGAATTCGCCGAACGCGACAATTGGCCGCCGGACCTCGTATTCAAGCTGAATTTGGTGCTGGAAGAATTGGGCGTCAACATCGTTAATTACAGCGGCGCCACCGGGGAAATCGAGATCTCGCTCGCTTCCGACGCGGAGAGCATCACCGTAGAGATTTCGGACAACGGCCGGCCGTTCAACCCCCTGGACGACTTGGAGACTCCGGATATTTCCGCCCCATTGGGCGACCGTGCCGTCGGCGGGCTGGGCGTCCACCTGGTACGGTCCATGATGGACGAATTGCGGTACAGCAGAGAGGACGGTAAGAACAAGCTGGCCATGACCAAGCTCAAGTCGGAGTGACTCGGGCGGTTGCGGTCTCGACTGCATTTCGCCAGCGCTTCCTCGCATGGTCGCCAGGCTGTTGTTGCTACCGTTGCACGCCGCAACGCCGTCATCCGCTGAGATCAGAGGCTAGTCGGTGTTCCGGGCCAACCCTGTCGCCAAAACGTTCTCGACCATCGCGGTCCTGTGTCTGCTTGTGCTGGCCGCTTGCGGCCCCGACACAAACGCCGGCGCCATCGCCGGTCCCGGGGATGTCACGCCCGAGTCCACGCCGCGAGGTAACAACCGCCTTGCTCCCGCGGACATCGAGGATCCGGGTATATTCGAGGACCGAATAGTATTCGGGCAATCTGCGGCGTTCACCGGCCCCGCGGGGCAGTTGGGCATCGGCATGCGCCACGGTATTCGGGCCGCGTTTGCCGAGGTCAACCGCGCCGGCGGAGTGCACGGACGCCGCCTGGAGTTGGTGACGCGCGACGATACCTACGAGCCCGAACTCGCGGTTTCCCGTACCATCGAACTCGTCGAAGAAGAGGATATCTTCGCGTTGATTGGCGCGGTTGGCACCCCGACATCGCGTTCTGCCGTGCCGGTGGCGGAAGCCGCTGGCGTACCCTACATCGCTCCTTTCACCGGAGCCGCTTTCCTGCGCGATCCCAAGCTCCGCAGCGTGATCAACCTGAGGGCTTCCTACAACCAGGAAACCGAAGAGATGGTCGAACGCCTGACGGAGGACCTGGGCATCGAGCGCATCGCGGTCATGTACCAGGACGACTCTTTTGGCCGGGCGGGATTCAACGGCGCGAACGCCGCTCTGCACCGACGCTACCTGGCGCCGGTAGCCGTGGGACTGTATCAGCGAAATACCACCGCGGTGAAAACCGGTCTGCTCGACGTACGGAAAGGGCGTCCCGAGGCAGTGATTGTCGTGGGCGCCTACCAACCGGTGGCTGCTGTTATCACATGGGCGCGGGAGATTGGAATGAACCCCGTGTTCATGACTGTTTCATTCGTAGGCAGCAACGCCCTGGCCAAAGAGTTGGGCGAAAACGGCCAGGGCGTAATCGTTACCCAGGTCGTTCCCTTTCCAACCGATACTTCGAACCCGGTTGTTGCCGCCTACCGGGAAGCTTTGGCAGAATATGACCCCCAGGTGGAGCCGGGGTTCGTGTCATTGGAAGGGTACATGGCCGGTCGCCTGGCGATCGCCGGTCTGGACCGCTGCGATGTCGATCTGACCAGAGCCTGTTTTTTGAGCGTGCTGCGGAACGCCCAGCCAATCGACATGACCGGCATGGAATTACGATTCAGCCAGGAAGAAGGCAACCAATGGTCTGACGCCGTCTACCTGACTATGATCGGAGAGGACGGCGCATACGTCCCCCTGGATGTCTTGCCGGAGGATGTATTGGGGAGCACAGACAAATGATGGCGACACTGACCAGGATCCTCGAACTCCGTTACCGCATTTCCTCCCAGTTGTACCTGGCCCTCGGAGGGGCGGTCTGTCTCACTTTTGCGGCGGCACTGGTGGGATGGTTTTCCTTCGACCAAGTCGGCGATGCTCAAAACCAGGTAAACGAGCGGAGCGTTCCGGATCTGGCAGCCGCATTCGACGTCGCTCAATTCAGCAGCGCCCTGGTGGCGGATGCTGCGGCGCTGCCCACCTCCACCGACGGGGACGAGGTTGCCGTAGTCAGCGCCCGCATTGGCGAGGCCCACCGAGCGTTCGAAGAGCAGTTGGCGATCCTGGAAAATCGAGCCGATGACCCGGAGAAAGAACAGTTCGACCGCATACTGGCCTACTCAGACACCCTGCTGCTCAACATCGATGACATGAAAAAGGGCATATCGGAGCGGTTTGCCCTGGAACAGCAGTCGGACGCGCTGCAAAGCGAGTTGACCGACCTCAGATTTCAGCTCGACCATATCGTTGCTCCGGCCCGCGACGATCAACTGTTTTATACGGTTACCGGTTACCGAGAATTGGGAGAACCTCCGGCAGAGGAAGTGGCGTATCGCGCGGAGGACGAACTTACCCGATTCCATTACCTGTCCGAACTACAGAGCAATGTCAACATCGCGACGCAGATTCTCGCTAGCGCAAGCACAGTTTCAGATCCGTCTTTGATCGAGCCCTTGCGGGAACGATTCGAATCCTCAGTCTTCCACATCAATCGTAACCTGAGCCGATTGTCCGGCACCGAAATCCACTCGGAACTCACGCCTCTCTTCTCGCGTTTGCTGGAATTGGGACAGGGCAATGAGAACAGTTTCGAAACGCGCTCACGTCAACTCGAAGTGGCGGACCTCCAGGTGGTTTTGCTTGCCAATAACCACGACATTGCGGTTCTGTTACTCGACGAAATGGAGTTCCTGGTTCAGACCGCCCGGAACAGCGCGGAGGTCGCCACCGCAGCCTCCGACCAGGCGATTTTCACGGGCCGCACGCTGCTGCTGGCCATCACCGGCTTCAGCATCGTGGGCGCGGTGTTGATCGCGTGGCTGTTCGTGGGCCGGGTCCTTTTGCACCGCATCGACATGCTGTCGCAGTGGATGCGGCAAATGGCTGGTGGAGATTTGGACGCCCGGGCCGAAATCAAGGGCCGCGACGAGGTGGCCGAAATGGCGGCGGCGCTGGAGGTCTTCCGGCAGCACGCCATTGAGATCCAGCGTCTGAACCTGGTGGAGGAGTTGGCCGAAGAGCTTCAGGGCAAGAACGGCGAACTCGAGCAGGCCATGTCGGACCTCAACACCGCCCAGGGCCAGATCGTGATGCGGGAAAAACTGGCGGCGCTGGGTGAGCTCACTGCCGGAGTCGCGCACGAAATCCGGAACCCGTTGAACTTCGTGAAAAACTTCTCCGAGGTTTCAGAAGAGTTGCTGGAGGAGTTGAAGGAAACGCTGGATGAGAGCGAGGACGGTCAGCTGAACGAAGAGCAACAAGACCTGGTCGAAGACATCTTCAGCGAGTTGGGCGGAAACCTGGAGCGGATACGGAGCCACGGAGACCGAGCGAACCGTATCGTGCACGACATGCTGATGATGAGCCGCGAATCCGTGGGACATCAACCCACGAACATCAGCAACCTGCTGGATGAACACGCCCGACTGGCTTACCACAGCACCCGGGCGGGAGACGACACCTTCCAACTGGACCTGCAGTACGACTTTGACGAATCAATGGGCGAAATCGACGTCAATCCCCAGGACCTGGGCCGCGTTTTCCTGAATATCGTCAACAACGGTTGCTACGCGACCAACGAAAAACGGATTGCCCTGACGCAAGACGGGGGAGGGTCCGACTACTCGCCCACCCTGTGGCTGTCCACTCGGCACGATGACGACCAAATCTGCGTATCTATCCGGGACAATGGCGTCGGGATGCCGCCGGACGTCATCGAAAAGATGTTCAACCCCTTCTTCACCACTAAACCTACGGACAAAGGCACTGGCCTCGGACTGTCAATCTGCAACGACATCGTTCGCCGTCACGGCGGGGAGATACTGGTTGAGTCCGAGCCCGGCGAGTTCACGGAGTTGACCATCATCCTGCCTTTGCACCCGCCCGAGCCCGTCGCTGACGAACCCGAAGACGACGCCGAAATGGACCTGGTCTCCGACGCAGCCCAGGTGGGAAACGACTGATCTGAGGTAGTCACGCCGGGGGAATTTATCTATGGGAACAGGCGTGGCGGCGTTCCGCCCCGGCCGCCGTAATCGATGAGATGCGGTCCATCGTTGGCTACCCGGTTGACCGCCGAAGAGACCTCGCGCACCGACATTTCCGGCCAATCCTGGCTGCTCAATAACGGCAGCAAAGTGTCGGGTTCGGTCTGGTCGGAGAGCCACCGGTCGAACTGATCCGGCGGCAGGATAACCGGCATGCGGTCGTGAATGGGCGCCAGCAGGTTATTCGCCGCGGTGGTGATGATCACGCAGGTCGCCTGCCCCTCGCCGTGGGTCTGCGGGGCATACCAGATGCCCGCGAAGGCGACGGGGTGACCGCGTTGGTGTGAGACCCACTGGGGCGTTTTGTTCCGTCCCGCTCCGGCTTTCCATTCGTAGAACCCGTTGGCCGGCACCAGGCAACGACGGGCCGCGAAAGCGTTTCGGAAGATGGGCCGCTGGTCGATGGTTTCCGCCCGCGCGTTGAACACGAGGCGCGGAGCCGACCCGCTGTTCCCCCCTCGGGACGGCGTCAGACCCCAGCGCATCATGTCGGCCGAGCGGGCATCGCCGTCCCTTGAGCACCGTTAGGATGGGCACGGTCGGAGGGATGTTCCAGCGAGGAGAATAAACGCCTCGCAAAGGCTCCGGCCCAAAATCAAAATGGCCGGCCAGTTCCCCCAACTCGGCGAACAGCCCGAATCGCCCACACATTGCAGTCTGGCCCTATCGTTTGACGTCCGCGACAATGTACGTCAACCCAGCGTCATACATTCCGGGTCGATCCCCATCTAAAGAGATGCCTAACGGTTCTTGAGCGCAATGACCGTTCACCGGACTGTTGCCGTGCCCAACCCGTAGGCAGCAATCGCCACACTTCTTTTCCGTCACAGTCGGATGCTATGACCACCTATTCACCCAGACGCGGTCAGGTTGGGACCGGAACTGGGGCAACTGCCTGGAGCGATGTCAATTTGGGAGCTTTGGCGGGTCGCCCTGCCGGTGCGAACATTGCCGGCTAGCGCGCCAACTTTGGCCGGACCTTCGCGCCGGGCGCCTTCAGCGCGCGATTAATCACCATTGCACATACATTGGCATCACCACGTGTACGTACCGGTCGGAGTCGGCTGGCCGGAACACGCCGGGGCTCGAGGAATTCGTGACTTCGATTGCGACCTTCCCCCGGCCCAACACGTTCACTATCTCCTGCAGGTAGCGCACGTTGAAGGCGATCTTGGCGTCCTGGCCGTCCAACTGGTCGATATCCAGCTCGTCCAGGCTGTCGCCCACCTCTTCAGAGCGGGCGGACACCTTGAGTTGGCCGCCTTCCCCGGTTTCCTGCGGCATCATTTCCAGCCGGACGATATTGCTGCCGTCCCGGGCAAAGACCGACGCCGACTGGGTGGCGCGTTTCAGGTCGTCCAGCTCCATCACCGCTCGGGTCTCGTACTTCTCGGGGATGAGTTGATCGTAGTTCGGGAAGCTGCCCTGGAGCAATTGGGACACGATCTCGACGTGCTCCAGCTTGAACATCGCCTGCCCGCGGTCCGGGGACAGGGTCATCTTTACGGGGCTGCTCTGTTCTGACGCCAGGCGTTGTACTTCCAGCATCGTTCGCGCCGGAACGATTACCTTTATTTCCTCGTCGACGGACTGCGAAATTTGCTCGGAGAAGACCGCCAGTCGGAAGCCATCGGCGGCGGCCATCACCACGCTGGACTCGCTCAGTTTGAGTTCCACACCGGTCAGCACGGGGCGCGATTCGTCAGAGGCTGCGGAGAATGCCACCAGCTGATCCCGGTGCGCAGCACTCCGGGGTCGATGTCGATGGCCGTACCGGTATCGACCTGTGGCACGGGCGGAAATCCGCCGCGTCAGCGCCGTTGATATGTGTGACCGCGCGCCCGCAGGCCAGATGCAAAACGCTGCCTCCGCCGGCAGAGTCGTCGCCGTCCGGTCCGCCCAGGTCGAGGTCGATCCGGTCACTGGGACGCGTGTTGACCCAGTCGGACAGCAACCGATGCGGCACCGTGATTGACCCTTCTTCCTCGATCATCGCGCCGATCCAGGTGGTGATGGCGATTTCCAGATTGGTCGCGGACAGCATCAGCATGCCCTGATCGGTGCGCAGCAACACGTTTTGAGTTATTGGCAGCGTCGATCTGCTGGCCACCGCCCGGCTCACTATGCTGAGGCCACGGGCCAGATTCTCCTGAAGGCATGACAGTTTCATATCTGTTCAATCCGATCCGTAAATTGCGCGAAATTATAGCATGGGGGATGATTGGTATAATGGTGCGCACCCCAAGAACCACCCAAAGCAAACGTTGAGGAATCCATGACCGAGTTGCTTTTCCTTACCGACGCCTACCTTTCAGAGTTCGACGCCACCGTCACTGCCGTCACGGATGACGGAAGCGTGGTGTTGGACCGTACCGCTTTCTATATCGGAGGCGGCGGACAGCCCTGCGACTTAGGTACGCTCACCGATCCGTCAGGCGCTGAGTTTCGTGTTTCGAAAGCGTCCCGTTCCGGTGGTTCCGTCGTGCACGCGATAGATGGCTCGGAACGGCCGGCCGTCGGGACTGCGCTGCACGGGGTCATCGACTGGGAGCGTCGCTACCTTTTGATGCGGACGCATACCGCCCTGCACATCCTGTGCGGAGTGGTGTGGCGTGACTACGGGGCACTGGTCACGGGCGGCGATATGCAGCCCGGCCGGGCGCGCATGGACTTCGAGCTCGAGACCATGTCGGCTGAGTTCGCCGGTGAGGTCGAGTCGCGCATCAACGCAGAGGTGGCGGAAGGACGCGACATCGGGGTGGGTTCCCTGAGCCGGCACGAGGCCGACGCGCACCCTGACCTGATTCGCACCAAGATCAATCTCCTGCCACCAGCGATTGCCGAAATCCGCACCATCGACATACAGGGTTTGGATCTCCAGGCTGATGGGGGCACTCACGTCCGCAACACCAACGAGGTCGGGCGCATCGAAGTTGTTGGCCATGAGAGCAAGGGCCGGATCAACAAGCGGCTGCGCATCGCGTTGGCCGAATGAGCTGGGTGGTCGGGTGTACCAGCGGCGGCGATTGTATATACTGGCTTTTCGCCACCGCCACGCGTGCGCCGGACCTTAAATCCAACAGGCTGAACTGTAACGGTGATGAGCCGTACAGTCCGAAGCGGAAGCGTGCCGTTCGCGCGATAACCAGCATTTGGAAGCCACGCGCCGTCGCTGGGACGAAACCCCCAGGCCGAATTCCGGAAACCGATACCGCCAACTACCAAACGGAAGAGAGCTAGTCGCAGATGTCAACCACTGTAGTCGGCATAGATGTCGGCGGTACTTTCACCGATATTGCCGTCCTTCGGGACGGCGTTCTTTCCGTCCATAAACTCCCGTCCACTCCGGCCGACCCGTCGGTGGGCATCACCGCCGGGGTCCGCGATACCGGTGTTGACGTCGATGCCGCCGACTTTATCCACGGCAGCACCGTCGCCACCAACGCCCTGCTGGAAGGCAAGGGAGGACGCACCGCCCTGGTCACAACCCTGGGCTTCGAGGACGTGCTCGAGATCGGCCGGCAGAACCGGGCCGACCTGTATGACCTGTTCATGGAACGCCCCGAGCCGCTGGCCCCCTGGCAATTGCGCTTCGGCCTGCCGGAGCGGATCGATTACACCGGCGCCATCCTGGACGACCTGACCCCCGAATCCATCGACGCCCTGATGGGACTGCTCCGTGACGCCGAGGTGGACGGTGTCGCCGTTTCGTTCCTGTTCTCCTTCCTCAACCCGGTGCACGAGGAGATCCTGGCCGAACGGTTGGCACAGCTGCCCAATCGGCCGTTCATCTCGATCTCGTCCCGAATCCTGCCGGAATTCCGCGAGTACGAGCGCACCAGCACGGTGGTAGTGAATTCATACGTAGGACCTGTGATGGACCGCTACCTGTCTCAGTTGGAATCGGTGCTGGGCCACGGGCTCCGCATCATGCAGTCGTCGGGCGGCAGCATCACCGCCAGCCTGGCCGCGGACCAGCCGGTGCGGACCATCCTCAGCGGGCCGGCCGGTGGCGTGGTGGGAGCTTTCTACACCGGCGTTCAGGCCGGCTATCCCGACATCATCACCCTGGACATGGGCGGCACCTCCACCGATGTTTCCCTCTGCCCCGGTCGCATCAAGGAAACGACCTCGGCCAACCTGGGCGGCTATCCGGTCAGCGTTCCCATGATCGAGATTCACACGGTGGGAGCCGGCGGCGGCTCCATCGCCCGGGTGGACGCCGGCGGTGCGCTGGTGGTCGGCCCGCAGTCGGCCGGCGCGGACCCGGGCCCGGCGTGCTACGGCAGGGGCGACCGGATTACCGTGACCGACGCCAACCTGACGCTGGGCCGCCTGCGCTCCGACGGGTTCCTGGGCGGACGCATGACGCTGAATCAGGAACGTTCCCAGGCGCTGATGACCGACCTTTCCGTCGGCGTGGGCGCATCGTCCACCGATACCGCGCTGGGAATCATCCGCGTCGTCAACTCCAACATGGAACGTGCCATCCGCGCCATCTCGCTGGAGCGCGGCTACGACCCCCGCGAATTCACCCTCGTCCCCTTTGGGGGCGCGGGCCCCATGCACGCCTGCGAGCTGGCCGCCGAGCTGGGCATTCCCCGCGTCCTGGTGCCGGGACATCCCGGGATCCTTTCCGCCCTGGGCGTCGCCATAGCGGATGTGGTCAAGGACTATTCGCGCACAGTGATGCTGCGCGGCGCGGACATGGACAAAGACCGCCTGGAGGAGGAGTTCCACGGCATGGAGCAACTGGCGCGCACCGAACTGGTGGAGGAGGGCTTGCCAGCCGATGCCATGACGCCGCGTCGTTTCCTGGACGTGCGCTACGTCGGCCAGTCATTCGAGCTGACCGTGGACTGCCCGTCGCTGGCCGGTCGCGGCGACCTCACCCGAAGCATCGCCACCGAATTCTACACGGCGCACCTGCAGCGCTTCGGGTACGCCGACCGCGCCCTGCCCATCGAGGTGGTCAATCTGCGCCTCAAGCTGGAGTTGGCGGTGGACAAACCGCACCTGGAACCCGCTCCGGATGCCGGCAGCGCCGCAGCGCACGCGGAGGTCGGCAACGTCGAAGTAGTGTTCGCCGAAGGCCGAATGGACACGACGCTGTACGACCGCGACCGCCTGCAAACCGGCAACCGGATAGCCGGCCCCGCGCTGCTCCTGCAGCTGGACACCACCATCGTGGTCCCACCCGGATGGAACGGCGTGGTTGACCCCTACGGCAACCTGCTGCTGGAACCGACTGTGGAGGGGTCCTGATGACCGTTTCGCCGTCCATCGACATTTCCCGCCTGTCCATCTTGGCCTGCTACGCCCACCCCGACGATGAAGGATTCGCATCGGGCGGCCTCCTGGCCATGCTGGCGTCCGCAGGAGCGCGGGTCACGCTGGTGTGCGCCACCAACGGCGACGTCGGCGAGATCAGCGACCCGATTCTGGCCACACCCGAAAACCTTTGGCAGGTCCGCAAGCAGGAACTCCGCAACGCCATGGACATAACCGGCATCAGCGACGTGCGGTTCCTCGACTACCGGGACAGCGGCATGGACGGCACCGACGACAACCGCCATCCCAACGCCTACTGCAACGCTGGCGCCGATACCGTTGTGGATCGCCTCGCGGAAGTGATCGCCGAAATCAATCCCCACGTCATCCTGACCCACGACCCCAGCGGCGGCTACGGGCATCCCGACCACAAGACAATGTGCGCCCACACCACGATTGCCGCCGAACGCGCGTCCGACCCCGACGCCGCCACGCCGCTGCTCTACTACGTCTGCTTCCCACGAAGCGTGTTCCAACGCTGGTGGCAGGAAATGATCGACCGCGGCATCGAGCCCCCCTTCGCCGTTGACGCCATCGACTCGTTAGGCACACCCGACGAGGAAGTGACTACTACCCTGGACGTCTCGGTCTGGGTGGAGACTAAATTGACCTCACTGGCCTGTCACCGGACCCAGATCAGTGACGATGGCCCCTTCGAGCAACTGCCGCAAGACGTGGTGCACCGCCTGATGGGGACGGAGTACTACCAATTGGCTGCGCCGGCCGGCGCGGTGGATCTGCTGGCGGCCCTGTAACGACCACGGAGATTGGCCATGACGACGCGGCAAAGTCACACCCAAGACATGGACAAGCTGATTGAGGCGGTTCTCTATTTGGGTGAACACTCACAGAACGATCCACACTTCGGTGTGAGTAAGCTCGTAAGGCTGCTGTACTACGCCGACTGCGCTGCTTATATATTGCTGGGAAAGCCGATCACCGGCACTACCTACCTGCACTTTCCCCACGGTCCTTTCCCGGAGAACTGGCACCACGCCCGCATGAAAATGGAGCGATCCGGCGACATCACCGTGCTTCGTGACCGCCATGAGCAAGGTTACCACCACTACGGGTTGCTCACCAACCGGTCCGCGAATCGGGAAGTGCTGGCTCCCCACGAGTTGGCGGAAATGGACGCGCAGTTGGAGCGTTTCGGCGATTACAGCCCAGCGGCGATTGAGGACTATGCCCGGTACGAAGCCGCCTGGTTGCAGACCGAGGACGGTCAGCCGATGCCTTACGAACTCGCCGGCATTGCCTCCCCGCCGTTGAGCCAGGACTCAATTCGCCGGGGATTGCAGGTGGCCGATGCAATCGCTGCCCGCTCCAGATGAACCCTATCGCATCGTCAGAAGCGCTGAGTTCCAAGCTGAATGGGATGCGGGTGTAGCTTCCGGATGGCTCAATCCAATGGTCCATCCTGCTCAGTTGGAATTCTTCATCCAGACCGTGTTGCCCACAACGCCTTTCCTTGGACGGCCGATTCACGGAGCCGCCGTAAACATCCGGGAGATTCGCTTCCCGCGTGGCCCGCGCAGCCGTGAAAGCATTGGGATCATCTACACCGTTATCGAAGACGACCGCACCGTCGAACTCGCAGGTATATACCTGATTTCTTGAGCCCGCCAGGAGTTATTCTCGCCATGCCCGTTGACGCCATCAGCCTCGAAGTTTTCAAGAACATGTTCATCTCCGTTTCCGAGGAGATGGGCGTGGCGCTACAGCGCACCAGCTACTCCACCAACATGAAGGAGCGGCAGGACTTTTCTTGCGCCCTTTTCAACCCCGCCGCCGAGATGGTGGCCCAGGCCGCCCACCAGCCGGTTCATCTGGGAGCCATGCCCGCCTCGGTGCAGGCGGCTTTGCAGACCTTCCCTCGCGGGCTCCGGCCGGGCGACATCATCATCCTCAACGATCCCTACATGGGTGGCTCCCACCTCCCGGACATTACCCTGGTTGCCGCGGCATACACCGACGGACCAGACGGCAAACAGCTCATCGGCTACGTCAGCAACCGTGGCCACCATTCCGACGTCGGCGGCATGGCGCCCGGTTCCATGCCCCTGTCCACCGAGCTGTACCAGGAGGGCCTGATCATCCCGCCCCTGAAGTTGTCCCGCGGCGGACGCATCAACCACGAAGTCATCGCCCTCATCTGCCGCAACTCCCGCACGCCCGACGACCGGCAGGGCGACCTCGCCGCGCAGATCGCGTCGATTCGCGTCGGCGAGAAGCGCCTGAGTGAAATCGCCGAACGCTACGGCCTGGACGAAACCCACGAGCACATGGATGCCCTGCTGGACTATTCCGAGCGGCTGACCCGCCGGCGCATCACCGAGATCCCGACGGCACCTACCGCGTCAACGACTACATGGACGACGATGGCCTGACCGAGGAGCCGGTCCTAATTTCGGTGGCGGTGACCGTTGACGGCGACCAGATGACCATCGATTTCACGGGAACTGCCGATCAACGGCCCGGCTGCATCAACGCGCCCCGTGCGGTCACGGTATCGGCCAGCCTGTACGTCGTGCGCTGCGTCGTCGGCGACGAAGCACCGGCCAACCAGGGGTGCTTGCGCCCGGTGGAGGTGATCACGCCCCGGGGCAGTCTGGTAAACCCGTTGCCCCAGCGCGGCGTCGCCGGCGGCAACGTCGAGACATCCCAGCGCATCACCGACGTGCTGCTGGCGGCCATGAGCCAGGCCATGCCAGACCGGATCCCCGCGTCCTCCCAGGGGACGATGAACAACATGATCATCGGCGGGCATGACATCTCGCGCGACAAGCCCTACGTCTACTACGAGACCATCGGCGGCGGCATGGGCGCGCGTCCCGACAAGGACGGCGTATCCGGCATCCACACGCACATGACCAACACCATGAACACCCCGGTGGAAGCCTTGGAGTTCGCGTTTCCCCTGCGCCTGCGTCGCTACGCCTTGCGCCGAGGCTCCGGCGGCGACGGCTTGCACCGGGGCGGCGACGGGCTGATCCGCGACGTCGAGTTTCTCAGCCCCGCCCGCGTTACCGTCCTGTCCGAACGCCGTCGTTTCGCTCCGCCCGGATACCACGGCGGACATCACGGCGAGCACGGCGAAAACGTTCTGCTGAAGGGCGGGGTTGAAGAGGTCCACCTGGCCGGCAAGGAGACCCTGGACGTGGAGGCCGGCGACATATTGAGCATCCGCACTCCCGGCGGCGGTGGTTGGGGCGCTCCGGTTGGGCATGATGAGCACGGGCATCACCACTGACACCCAGCGGTTGGCCCAGGCCGCCGGGTCTGTTGACGAGGTGCAGCAGCGGGTCGTCGCCTGCCGCGCCTGCCCTCGCCTCGTGGAATGGCGGGAGGAAACCGCCCGCGTCAAGCGGCGGATGTACCGGGACGAGGACTACTGGGGGCGCCCGCTCGCGGCTTTGGGCGACCCGGCGGCGCGGCTGCTCATCGTGGGTTTGGCACCGGCAGCCCACGGCGGCAACCGCACCGGCCGGATGTTCACCGGGGATCGCAGCGGCGACTGGCTGTTCGGCGCCCTGCATCGCGCCGGTTTCGCCAACCAGCCCGAGTCGGTACGTCCGGGCGATGGCCTGGAGCTCCACGGCGCGCTGATCACGGCGGCGGCACGCTGCGCTCCGCCAGCTAACAAGCCGACCCGCGAGGAACTGGCCACCTGCCAGCCGTACATCGTCCGCGAAATCGAACTGCTCGCCGACCTTCGAGCGGTGGTAGCCCTGGGCCGCATTGCCTTCGATGCTTTCCTGCGTTCCTACGCCGCCGCCGGCCGGACACCACCGGATCGCAAGCCGCCCTTCGGTCACGACGTGGCGACGCTGCTCCCAGATGGCGGGCCCCTGCTAATCGCCTGCTACCACCCCAGCCAGCAGAACACCCAGACCGGCCGGCTGACCGAGCCGATGCTGGACGCCGTGTTCGCCCGGGCGCGGGATGCCTGCGGTTTCTGACTTCGAATCGCCGCCTTCCGATGGTCTGGGTATTGCGCTTTGGCGCTGGTTCGGGTGGTTTTACACCCTGATACTCAGCAGGTATGATTGGCTGCACTATTCAACAACCCTGCTGGCCCCTGCCGGCCGGCAATTTACGTGCCTTAAGGAGACCGTTATGAGAGGAGTAGCCATCGTTTCCCCAGTTCGCACCGCCGTGGGCAATTTCGGCGGAGCGTTGCGGGACGTGCCCGCTGCCGAGCTGGCGTCTACGGTCATCCAGGCCGCGCTGGAGCGCAGCGGAGTCGACCCTGCCAAAGTTGACGACGTGATCCTCGGTCACGGCTATCCGTCCGGTGAAAACCCGGCCATTGGCCGCCTCGCCGGCTTGAAGGCCGGGCTGCCCATCGAGGTCCCTGGCTACCAGTTGGATCGCCGCTGTTCGTCGGGCCTCCAGGCCATCCTCAACGCCTCCATGCTGATCCAAACCGACAACGCCGACGTGGTTATCGCCGGCGGCGCCGAGAGCATGAGCAGCGCGGAGTTTTACAGCAACGAATCGCGCTGGGGCGCCCGATTTGGATCGGTCACCTTCCACGACCGGCTGGCCCGTGCCCGCGTCACCATCGCGCCGGAGGACCGGTTCGGTCCCATCCCCGGCGGCATGGTGGAAACCGCGGAGAACCTGGCCCGCCAGTACGAAATCCCCCGCGAAGAGCAGGACGAGTACGCCCTGCGCAGCCACCAGCGCGCCGTGGCGGCGCGAGACTCCGGCAGGTTCGCCGACGAGATCATCCCGGTGAGCATCCCTCAACGGCGTGGCGACCCCAAGATATTCGACGCGGACGAGGGTCCTCGCGGCGATACCACCATGGATGTCCTGGGCCGGCTGCGTCCCGTGATGCCCGATGGCGTGGTCACGGCGGGCAACGCCAGCAGCCAGAACGACGCCGCCTCGGTGTGCCTCGTGGTGGCCGAGGACAAGCTGGAAGAATTGGGTCTTGAACCGATGGCCTTCCTGCGCGGCTGGGCCGTCACCGGGTGCCATCCGGCCACCATGGGCATCGGGCCCGTGCCGGCGGTGAACAAGGTCATGGGCAAGATCGGCATGACGCTGCAGGACATGGACCTCATTGAGCTGAACGAAGCCTTCGCCGCTCAGGTGCTGGCGGTGCTGCGCGAGTGGCAGTTGCCCAACGAGGACCACCTGAACGTGAACGGCTCCGGCATCTCCCTGGGTCATCCCATCGCGGCCACCGGCGCCCGCATCCTGACCACGATGCTCCACGAGATGCAGCGGCAGGACGCCCAGTGGGGCCTCGAGACTATGTGCGTCGGCGGCGGCCAGGGCGTGGCCGCAGTCTTCGAGCGCAAGTAGGCCACCGGACCAACGCTGCAACGGGGCACGGGAGCGATATTACCCCGGCTGCTGTGCTCACGATGGCGCTCGTATCTGGAGATCGGAACCATCATGCCCCCTCGCACCCGTCGGGAACCGCCGGCGCGACAGGATGCCCGGATCCGCAAGCACCTGCTCATGGCACGTGAATATTGGTCAAAGGCTCCGCAGTACCTGTCCGAGGGCGACTTGAAACAGGCCAGTGAAAAAGGCTGGGGAGCGGTTGCACAGCTCACCAAGGCGGTGGCCACGCTGCGCGGCTGGGACCATTATGATCATGTCGCGATACGCGAGGCGGTTCAGGCTCTGGCCACCGAACGTACGGAACGATCCGAGGAAATCCGCCGCGGCCTCAACGCCGCCGAGAGTCTGCACGGGAACTTCTACGAAGGGCACCTGACCATGGAACATACGGAGTTCAACCTGTCGGAATTGGTTCCGTTGTTGAATGCGGCCTGGCAATTGATCCCCGCCGAATTCACTGGCGGCGCATCATTTGACCAATGGGTCGCTCAGGGACAGTAAGCGCCGCGCTTTCCTGCGCACCGGCGCGTCGTTGCCGCTGCTACCGATCTCCAAGTGAGGCCAGGATGACCACCGCCAAACCCGCCATCCCACCGCAACTGACCGGCAAATTGGATCCTCCGGTGGAGTTGCCGTACCCACCGCGGGCGCCGGATATGCAGCAGTATTCCCACATCTCGAATGCGGCAACGTCTCTCGTCGCCCATTTCGCGTCGCGACCAGGTACGCTGGTGAGTGGAAAAAGGCTTTCTGTGTTACGACACGCGCAGCCACGACGGTTGGCTGGTGCCTGATTGTGTAGTGGCCTTCGATGTTGATCCGGACGCCATAACCGAGCGCAACGGTTACGTGATCAGCGAAGTGGGCAACCCTCCCGATTTCGTGCTGGAGGTGGCTTCACGGAGGACTGGACTGGCCGACTACACGCGCAAGCGGTTCGGGTATGCCCACTATGGTGTCAGAGAATACTGGCGGTTCGACCACACCGGCGGCCGGTATCACGACGCGCCCCTGGCGGGCGACCAACTGGTCAACGGACAGTACGAACCGATCCCGCTGGCTGAGGACCGCCCCAGCAAAATGCATGGGATGCTGTCGGGCTACAGTGAAACCCTGGGACTGTACCTGTGTTGGGACAAGGGGAATCTGCGCTTTTACAACCCGATAGCTGACGAGTTTCTGATGAGCAGGGTCGAACTGGAGGCGGCGCTCGCTGAGGCGAACGAGCGCATCCGTCAGCTCGAGGCGGAGTTGGGGCGTTAGCCATCAATCGACAGGAGCATTAACCTATGGGCAGCAAGCATGATATTGCGGACGTTTTGGTCATTGGGGCCGGTGCGTCCGGCGGAGCGTTCACCTGGAGCCTGACCCAGGCCGGCGTCAAGGTGGTGTGCCTGGAGCAGGGCGGCTGGGTGCCTACGAACGCCTTCCCGGTCAGCGAGCCGCAGGCGCAGCTCCACTGGCAGGCCGATTTTCATCCCAATCCCCAATTTCAGGGGATTGCCGGAGGACTATCCGGTCAACGAGAATGACACCCCCATCGCGCCTTACATGTACAACGCGGTGGGCGGCAGTACCATCCACTGGGGTTCCCACTTCCCGCGGTTCCATCCCTCGGACTTCCGTCTGAATTCACTGGACGGCGTGGCCGACGACTGGCCGATGGACTACTTCGAATTGGAGCCGTACTACGACCAGAACGACCGGATGCACGGCGTCAGCGGGCTGCGCGGCGACCCGGCTTACCCGCCCAAGCCCGAGCGTCCCACCCCGCCGCTGCCCATCGGGCCTGGGGGTGAACTGCTGGCCCGGGCGTACAACAAGCTGGGCTGGCACTGGTGGTCGGCGGACAATGCCGTCGCCTCCGCCGCTTACGACGGTCGCCGGGCAGATGTGGGCGAGCACCTGCGCTCACCGTCCAGCAGCGACATCATCTTCTGGCCTCGCGCGCTCAAGCAGGGGGCTCGCCTGATCACCCACGCCCGGGTGCGGGAGATCCTGGTAGATGAAACCGGTCGCGCCACCGGCGCAGCCTACTACGACCGCAACGGCGACCTCCAGGCGCAGTACGCCAAGGTTGTGGTGCTGGCCTGCAATGGTATCGGCACCTCCCGGCTACTGCTCAACTCCAGGAGCGCGCTGTTCCCGGACGGGCTCGCCAACAGCAGCGGGCAGGTGGGGCGCAACCTGATGCACCACCCTTGCGGCTATGTCATGGGCCTCTTTGACGAGGACCTGGGACCGGACGACGGGCCCCGCGGTTCGTCGATGCTGAGCCAGGAGTTCTACGAAACCGATCCGCGGCGGGGATTCGTGCGCGGTTACGACATGCAGATTTCCAACGTCGGCGGCGCCCCCCTGCAGGTCGCGCTGGGCGGGTTGGTCGGCCAGCAGGTGGAATGGGGCGAGGGACACCACCGCGACTTCGCGGAACGGTTCCGGCACCAGATGGGCATCGTCATCATGACCGAGGACCTGCCCGAAGAGCACAACACGGTCACGCTGGACCCGGCGCTGACGGATAACCACGGCATTCCCGCGCCCAAGATCGATTACACGGTGAGCGACAACACGTGGGCCATGCTGGACCACGGCATCGCCCGCGCCACCGAGGTGCTGGAGGCGGCCGGAGCCAAGCGGGTCGTTTCCTCCCGGTTGCGACGCAACGCCGGCTGGCATCTGCTGGGCACCGCGCGCATGGGATCCGACCCCGACCGCTCGGTGGTGGACCGCTGGGGTCGCGCCCACGACGTGCCCAACCTGTTCATCATCGACGGCAGCATCTTCACCACCGGAGCCTGCATCAACCCCACCACCACGATCCAGGCCCTTGCGCTTCGCACCGCCGATCACCTGAAAGGAGAAGGCTCTTCCGCAATTTCCTGACGGCGCTCCGAATGCAAATCACCACCAAGCGGTTGTTGCTTCGGGAGTTCCGCGAAGACGACTGGCGGGCCGTGCTGGGTTACCAGCGCGACCCGCTTTATCTTCGCTACTACCCGTGGGAAGATCGCGACGAGAAGGATGCGCGAGCCTTCGTCGATATGTTTCGCATGTGGCAGTCGGAACTTCCCCGACGGCGGTTCCAGCTCGCCATAATCCGCCGCGAGGACGGCCTGCTCATCGGGAATTGCGGCATAAGGCGCAAACCGGACAATGACTGGGAAGCCGATATCGGGTATGAGTTGTCGCCTCAATACTGGGGGCGCGGTTACGCCACCGAAGCCGCCTGGGCCATCGTTAATTTCGGGTTCGGTGAACTTGGCCTCCAGCGTATCTCATCCTGGTGCATCGCGGACAATGTCGCTTCGACCCGGGTGCTGGAGCGGCTGGGGTTCCGGCAGGAGGGTCGGCTGACACGGAACGAATACTTCAAGGGCCGGTGGTGGGATACACTATTATTCGCGCTGTTGGCGGAAGAGTGACAGCCCGCTCGTTGAACCGCCGGAGCTCGAACATTGACCGGAGCTCGAACATTGACCGGAGCTCGAACATTGACCGAAGCTCGAACATTGACCGAAGCTCGAACATTGACCGAAGCTCGAACATTGACCGAAGCTCGAACATTGAAATGAATTCACGGAGGAACCATGCCCAAGATCGTGCACTGCGAACTGCCCTTTGACGATGCCGACGCGCCAACAAGTTCTACGCCGAGGTATTCGGCTGGAACTCCAGCAAATGGGACGGGCCCGAAGAATACTACCTGCAAGAGACCGGAGGCGACGACGAGCCCTACGGCATCGGCGGGGCGCTCATCGCGCGGCAATCTGCCCTCAACGACGGCGGAACTTTGGTAGTCATCGGCGTGGACGACCTCGACGCCTACACCGAAAAAGTGGCGGCGGCGAGTTGCGAAATCGTCACGCCACGCACGGCGATTCCCGGCGTGGGCTGGTTCGTCAACTTCCGTGACACGGAGGGCAACGTTGTGGGCATGTTCATGGACGACAACAACGCGGCGTGAACCCAATGCCGGCTCGCATCGACATACCGACCGAACGGATCGCCGAGTTCTGCCAGCGCAACCGCGTGCGCCGGCTGGCGCTGTTCGGCTCCGTGATCCGCGACGATTTCACGCCGCAAAGCGACGTGGACGTGCTGGTGGAGTTTGAGCCAGGGTACGCCGCGGGGTTCGTATTCTTTCAAATGCGCCGCGAATTGACGACCATGCTTGGGCGGGAAGTGGATATGCACACCGCAGCATCCCTGAGCCCTTATTTCAGACAGGAAGTGTTGGACGAAGCGGAGGAAGTATATGTCTCGCCGTGACCCCATGGTGGCCGTGCAGCAGATGCGTGACCATGGCAAAGAAGCCATGGAATTGGCGCAGGATCGCCGGCGGGTTGATCTGGACGTGGATCGCATGTTTGAGCTGGCGCTCACGCGCCTGATGGAAGTGTTAGGCGAGGCTGCTCGTCGTGTGCCCCAAGAATTTCGAGCCCGCTATCCGCACGTTCTCTGGCAGGACACGACTGATCTCCGCAACGTGCTGATCCACAATTACGACACGGTCGACTTCGACGAGTTGTGGCGCATCATCCAGGAGCACCTGCCGCCACTCGTTGAACAGTTGCAGGCGATCATCGACGAAAACCTGCCGGCGGCGTGACCCGCCGGTCTGCAAAGGAGCACATCATGGGCCGAATGGATGGCAAGGTCGCGATTATCAGCGGCGGCGCGCGGGGCATGGGCGCCGAGGAGGTCAGGCTGTTCGCCAGGGAAGGCGCCAGGGTCGTTTTCGGAGACATCCTGGACGACCTGGGCGGTCAGGTTGAAGCGGATTGCCGCGCCGAAGGGCTCGACTGCGCCTACGCCCACCTGGACGTAACTAGCGAGGCAGATTGGCAGGCCATCGTCGCCCTGAGCGAGGAACGCTACGGCAAGCTGGACGCCCTGGTCAACAACGCCGGCATCAGCATCTCCGCCGGCGGCGGCGCGCACAACATTTCGCTGGAGGACACCAGCGTGGCCGACTGGGACCGGGTGATGGATATTAATTCCAAGGGCGTCTTCCTGGGTACCAAGGCGGCGATCCCGGCGATGCGACGCGCCGGCGGAGGATCCATCGTCAACATCTCTTCCATCGCCGGCATGACCGGGGCCTGGTCCCGGTCCCATCCGTACAACGCCTCCAAGGGAGCGGTGCGCCTTTTCACCAAGGCCACGGCCGTTCAGCACGCCCGCGAGGGTATTCGCGCCAACTCCGTGCACCCCGGGCCGATCATGACGCCCATGAGCGAGTCCACCTACGCGGATCCGGAAGTGGCGGCGCAGCGGCTGGCGCAGGTTCCCCTGGGCCGCCGGGCGCATCCCATCGAGGTGGCCTACGGCGTGCTCTACCTGGCGTCGGACGAAGCGTCGTTCGTTACGGGCGCCGAGTTGGTCATCGACGGCGGGTGTATTGCCCAGTAGTGCGGCGGCAAGTAAGATAGCCCCGAAGCATTCAATCCGACACACTCATCTGCAAGGGAGACAATTATGCCTGACGTTTATGGCCAGGGAGATTTTCAGTACACCTTCACGGCGGACTGGCTGAAGCTGCCGGACGGCATGCGCCTCTTGGAATGCCCCGGCGTAGCGGTGGACGGCAACGATCGCGTCTTCATCCTGACGCGCGGCGAGCATCCCATCATGGTGTTCGACAAGGACGGCAACTTCGAGCGGTCCTTCGGTCAGGGCCACTTCAGCGAGAACCGGACCCACGGCCTGTACTACAGCGCGGCGGACGATACCCTGCTGGCTGCCGACGACGGCATCCACACCATCCAGAAGTTCAGCGTTACCGGCGAAAAACTGATGGAGATCGGCGAGAAGAACCATCCGGCTCCCCGCTGGAGCGGTCAGCCCTTCAACCGACCCACCTCTGCGGCCATCCGCCCCAGCAACGGCGACATCTACGTCTCTGACGGATACGGAAACTCCCGCATCCACGTCTATAGCCCTGAAGGCGGCTACAAGTTCTCCTGGGGCGAACCGGGGATCGACGCCGGCCAGTTCATCCGCCCCCACAACATCGCCTTCGACGAGGACGAGCGGGTGTACGTGGTCGACCGTGAGTGTCACCGCATCCAGCTATTCGATACCGATGGCAACTTCCTGACCATGTGGAGCAACATCCACCGGCCGGACGCGATGGTCTACTGGCAAGGCCACATCTACGTTGGCGAGCTCAACGGTATGGGCGGCGTGGATGACGCTCCCGGTCTGGGCCACCGCGTCACCATCTACGACCGGGACGGCAACCGGGTCTGCACCTTCGGCGACAAAGACGAGGGTGAGGGTCCCGGCCAGTTCATCGCTCCCCACGGCATCGCCGTGGACAGCACCGGCGCCGTGTATGTCTCCGAGGTGTCCTACACCATCCGCGGCAGCCACATGGACCCGCCGCGGGAACTGCGCAGCTTCTCCAAGTACGCCCGGGCGTAATCCAACCTCATCCGCCGACAGCGTAGGGGCGAATGATCATTCGCCCCTGCCTGTCTACCAACGTAACCGCGTCAGAGGCAATCGATTTGACCACTTTCACCGACATCACCACCACCACCTGGGATGACGCCCTCGCCGCCATCGAGCGAGGTTACGAGTTGGGCTGGAGCGACGGCCTGCCCGTGGTTCCCCCACCACGACGCGGGTGGCCGAGTTCATCGGCTACGCCGGCCGCGCCCCGACGAGGTCCTCGGCGATTGCCCGAACGCCGCCGCGTCATCACCGTGGAAAAAGCGGCAGCCAACGCCGTCATGGCCGGTTGCCTGCCGGAGTATTTCCCGGTGGTCCTGGCCGCCACCGAGGCAAATGCTGGACCCGGTGTTTAACCTGGTCGGCCCATCCTCCAGCATGGGCGGCGCGGCGGTCCTGTGCATCGTCAACGGGCCGGTTCGCGAGCAGATCGGGCTGAACAGCCGCAACAACCTGTTTGGGCCGGGCAATCGCGCCAACGGAACCATCGGCCGCTCCATTCGACTCATCCTGATGAACGCGTGCGCCGCCATTCCCGGCCTGTTCGACCGCAGCGTCATCGGCCATCCCGGCAAGTACACCTACTGTATCGCCGAGGCGGAGGGCGAAACGCACTGGACCCCCCTGCACGTGGACCGCGGGTTTGACGCGGGCGACAGCACGGTTACGGTGTTCGCCAGTGAAGCTCCACGGCAGGTAAGGTCCCTGGGGCGGCCTGAGGCGATCCTGTACGCTATCGCTGACGTGGCGTCGTCATTGGGGACGTCAATGTCCACCTCGGGGTCGGTGGGCGATGTGTCGGTGGGCATCCGGCAGGGGCAGGTGGCAATCACCATCGCCGGCAACAGCAACCTGTGGCGGGATTGGACAAAGCAGCAGGTACGTGAGTATCTCCACGACAACGTCCAGCGGTCCGTGGCCGACCTGAAGCGGGGCCTGGTGCTGCGCGGAGATGTGGAGCCGGGCGACGAGGCTGCGATGGTACCGCTGATTCCCGAACCGGACGATATTCTGGTAGTATTCGCCGGCGGCGAGGAGTCCAACTCCTCTTCGGTGATACCCAGTTGGGGCCCGAAGGTCGGCTCCACCGCCGTAACCAAAGCAGTGAACATTCCCTAGGCACTACAAGAACCGCGACCAGGAGGCATGAACATGGCAACCCAGCAATACACGCTGGTCAATCCGACCACCGAGCCGATCATCGCACCCTTCGACGGGGCGCCCCGCCTGCCCTCGCTGGCCGGCACCCGGGTTGGCCTGATCGACGACAGCAAGCGCAACGCCGACGTCCTCCTCGAGGAGTTGGCCGAAGTGCTGCGCAACCGTTATGAAATCCGTGAGGTGCGTTGGCTGCGCAAGCCCAGCGCCTCCCGACCGGCTGATCCGCAAGAATTGCAGGAGCTCGTGGCCAACGTCGATTCAGTGGTGGTCGCCATCGGAGATTGAGGGAGCTGCAGTGCGTGCAGTGTGCACGACGGAATCCACGTTGAGAAGGCCGGCCTCCCCTCCGCCACCATTTGCACCGACCGCTTCGTCCCTACCGCCAAAGGCATGGCCAAGATGTGGGGCGCGGAAGACTATCCCACCATCTTCACCCAGCACCCCATCGAAAACCTGGACCGCCCCGCCCTGCGTGAGCGGGCGGAAGGTCTGGCAACTGAAGTGGCGGCCATCCTGACCAACGGCTAGCATCTCGGTTCACCGCTGAAAGCATGAGGGGCGGGTCACATGACCCGCCCCTCATGCTTTCATCAATCCAAAATGGAGATTGCTATGACTCGCGAACCGCCCGCCCCAATGCCCGCCAGAGGTCTCCCGTTTCGGCGGCGGGTCAGAGCCATCGCTGCCAGCGTGACACTGCAGCGCATCAGAACCGTCGCGGCCATCGCGGCGCTGGCATCCATATCCGGCGCCGTGGTAATCCTGATCGTCCTGCTGTTGTCACTTTACCCGTCGCTGCGGGCAACGGTCCACAACCTGGAAAGGGTGAGCGCGGCGTTGACAGTATCAGCCGAGAACTTCGCGGGCGTTTCCGACGAAGCCGCTCAGAACCTCACCCAAACCTCTGCCAATCTCAACGAAGCTTCAGCCAACCTCAAGGATACTACGGAGCATTTCGAGAACAACTTGACGGACGACGGGATCGCCGAAACCATCATCCGGCTGTTGGATCAGGCCAGCCAGCGGGATCCTCGCTAACGGCCCGCCGCAATTCCGCGTCGCGCACGTTTTGCGCCCACCGAGCCAGGTCCACTCCGCGCTCCGCCAGCGCGGTCTGCAACTGATCCAGCGCGTCCAGGGCGGCTTCGGGGGACACTGGCGGCCGATGCTGCCGCCGGAACAGCAGGCTCTCAACCTCTATATCCACGTCCGCCGTCTCCCATCCTGCGGCAACCCAGGCGCGTGCGTGGTGGTGTATGCCCTCACCGGAATGGTTTGACCACCATACCCGGTAACGACGAGCTGACGGGGGCAGTTTGTCGCCGATGATGGTTTCGATGCTGGAGAATGACGCTCGCCATTCCTGAGTGTTGAGGCCGCACAGGTGCGTGTAAAGTTTTCGGTATTTCCGGCCTCGGAATTCCATGTTGCCCGTCCCTGTAATCGGCTGTGGCCAGAGTTTGAACTACCGCCCCGCCGCAATCTCCGCGTCGCGCAAATCGGGCGGCAGCAGGTTGGGAATGCCATCGGTGATGGGATAGACCTCGTTGCAGGGGGAGCAGGTGAGGGCGCCGGTCAGCACTTCTCCGGCGTCCGGGTCCTCGTTGGGCGCGATGGTGTCAGCCTGCAAGGTCAGGGGACCCTTGCATACCGGGCAGGCGAGGATGTCCATGAGATCGGTTTTCAATTCGTTCACCTTTGGTCAGGTTATCCCGCCAGTCCTTTCTCAAACAGCCACGTGAGGACATCGGCCAGACCGATGACGATGACGCCGGCAATGGTCAGGGCCACCGGCCCCGTCATTGCGCCTCCAATGCTGCCGGTCGGCCGATCCCGGTGTCGGGGCAGCAGCCAGGCGACAACGAAAGCGTACACTGCCAGCAGGATTTTGGCGACCAGCACGACCGTGTAGGCCATGCCGGCGGCGTCCGAAGTCAGGCGGTCCACCGTTAGGATCACGCCGGAGATGATAAGTACGGCGATGGCGGTGACGACGATGGGCCGAAACTCGGCGGCCAGCGCGCGGCCGAGCAGTCCGGTTGTGTCCGCAGTTCGCAGCGCCGGTCGCGCGGCCAACAGCATGAACAGGCTACCGCCGATCCATACCACCGCCGCCAGCGCGTGAGCCCAGCGGATGACGAGCAGGATGATGCCCTAGTACGTCCATCACCCCGCCAGTTCTTCCAATATGTCGGTCAACCGCTCCACGTCCATGCGGCTGATTTCCATCAGGTGTACGCGCCCGCCCTGGTCGATGAAGTAGTCGTGGGGAAAAACTGCACCGCGTATTCTTGGGCAACTCGAGCCCGCACGTCGGTCGCGAAGTCAAAGGTCAGCCCGAACTCGTCGACGAACTGCCGCGCCTCGACCTCCGTGTCGAACCCCTGGGGCACGAACAATCCGATAAACCGCACGTTGCGCCCCTGGTACTCTCCCCAGACCTCCTGGAACGCGGGCATCTCATCGCGGCAGGGCGGGCACGACGGGTACCAGAAGTTGATGACCACCACGTCGCCCCGCTGCTCGGACAGGCGAAACTGCTCCCCGCCGAAGGTGGTCAGGGTGAAGTCGGCGGCCGGTGGGTTGGAAGAGCAAGCGGCCAATGGGATCAACAACACAAGCAGACCCAACGCCCCAAGAGTGTTGCATCGTGAAGATGAAATTAGCCGGGACAACACGTTATCGGCACGCAGCATTCTGAGCATAGCCATATTTTACCGTAGCGCGTCTCGTGGATGGCCCTGACGACGAGGGCTCCGCCATGCCTAACGCTGCCCATCTAACCTTTGCTTTGGCCGGCCGACTCCCCGAACTGCCGGCCGAAGAACACCGTCAGCAGCGCGCTGACGATCGTAACCCCGAGGCACATATAGCCCACTCCCACGTAACCCGTACTCGCCAACAACGCTCCGGCGATCCCGGCGCCCAACGCACCGCCGGCCTGATTGCTGAACCCCATCAGACCCACTCCCGTGGCCTTGGATTCTCCCGAATACTCGGTGCTGGCAGCGACCAGAATCGGAAACGTCATGCTCAACAACCCCGTTCCGACCGCCGCCACGCCCACCGCCGCCCAGAGGTCGAGGTCCACGGTGAAGAACACGAAACCGCAAACTCCCCCAGCTGCGGTGGCAGCAGCTATGAACACCGCGCGGTACGTCCGGTTCGCCACGAACGCCGCCGCATAGCTCCCCACCGTCTGCCCGATGGCCGCTATCGCCAGGGGCAGAGCCACAAAGCCTATGCTCAGGTCGTAGGTATTTATCAGGTAGGCTGCGAAAAAGCTGATCGTCCCCCAGAATGCGATGCGCTGCGTCAGATTGACCGCCACGGCCACCCGGAAAAACCGCATTGACGCCAGCGACCTATACCTTGAAAAGAACACCCAGTTGCGGACCCGCTCCCCCTGGCCTTTCGGTAGCCAGAGCCAGTTCGCCAAGAGCCCCACCACTAGCACCAAGCCGTACACGATGAAGGCAAGCTGCCAGCCGCCCAAGTCTGCCAGCACCGCGACCAACGGAACGGTGATGGCCGAAGCCAGCCCCTGAATGGCCAGCAGCGCGCCAACTGCCTGGGCCCGCCGGGCCGGTGAGATTACGTCGGATACCGCACCCACGATGTTGGGCGGGATCGCGCCCCCTCCCAGGCCGGTCAAAACCCGCAACGCCAACAGAGTTTCCAGATTCGGCGCGAAGGCGGATGCCAGCACGGATATCGAAAGGACCGCCAACCCCACCAGGGCCACCGGGCGCCGTCCGAACGAGTCGGAAAGCGGACCACCGGAGACTCCCATAACCGCCCAGGCAATGAAGGTTGCGGTAGCCAACTGACCCGCCACGGCGACCGATACTTCCAGGTCCGTTGCGATTTCCACCAGGAGTGGCGGAATAATCAGGATCGCGCTTATGGTGGCAAATACGGTAAGCGAAAGCACGGCCATAAACCACGCTTTGTTTACCTCTCTGCGGCCGGTCGATGCGGTCTGCGTTGCTATCTTGTTCGTCCCTCTTTCAGGTGGTCGCCGGAGCCCGAGTCGTGCTCGGCGGGTCTGGGTTGGTGCAGGCCGGCCGTTTGCGCAGTTGACGCCTCACTCACCTGACCGATTGGCCAATCGGCAAGGTGCTTACCACCAATTGGGATAATAATGGCGAGCAATCAGTATAGCCTCCGAGGCATGCGCTGCCCAGCGAACCCGACACCCGTCCGGTGCCCACGCCTTGCCGGCGGCGCAACCGCCCCGGGCCGCTCACGCGTACCCACTTTGCACAATCCGTCATTGCGAGCGACCTCCTGTCATTGCGAGCGCAGCGTGGCAATCTCGTCGCTGGAGGGATCATCGCTCAATCCAACCAGATCGCCACGTCGCTGCGCTCCTCGCGATGACAAAGTGGGTACGCGTGAGCATCGCACCCCGCTTGACTGCCGACCGTGCTCGGCTACAATCGTAGCGACCTGTAGATGCGGTGTTGCGGAGCCAACGCCAGCCATCAATCCAGCCGCCATTCGTGAGGTGTGACCATGCGTCTTGAAAACAAAGTTGCTCTTATCAGCGGGGGTTCTCGGGGTCAGGGCGCTGCGGAAGCCCGGCTGTTCGCCGGCGAAGGCTGTAAGGTCGTAATCGCCGACGTTCTGGAGGACGAGGGGAGGCGGCTGGAGGCCGAAATCAACGAGACCGGCGGCGAGTGTGTATTCGTCAAGCTGGATGTCACCAGCGAGGACGAGTGGAACGCGGCCATCAACACCACGGTGGAGCGGTTCGGCAAGCTGGACATCCTGGTGAACAACGCCGGCATCTACCGGCAGGTGGGTATCGAGGACACCAGCGAAGAGTTGTGGGACAACATCTTCGACATCAACGCCAAGGGAGTGTTCCTGGGCACCAAGGCCGCCATCCCTGAAATGCGCAAGGCCGGCGGCGGTTCCATCATCAACATCTCCAGCGTGGCCGGCCTCATCGGCAGCTGGCGGGCGCCGGCCTACGGGGCCACCAAGGGCGCGGTCCGCCTGTTCACCAAGTCCACCGCCATCCAGTACGCCGCCGAGGGCATCCGCTGCAACTCCGTTCACCCCGGCATCATCGAGACGCCCATGACCACGCCGACCCTGCTGCGGGACGACGCGGCGCGGCAGGCGTCGCTGGACCGGACGCCCATCGGCCGGGTCGGCCAGGCCGAGGACGTCGCCTATGGGGTGCTGTTCCTGGCGTCTGACGAGTCGTCCTTCATGACCGGCAGCGAGTTGGTGATCGACGGCGGGTTGTTCGCCCAGTAGCGGTTCGGGCGCGCCGTTTTGATGCCCGCGCGGCGCATCACCCTCGTTGGCAGCGCGGGCGCGGTGGCGGTTGTCCTGTGTCTGCTAACCTTGTTGGTGCCCACCAACACCGCCCACGCCTGCTCGTGCGCCTCTGCCGGCTCGCCCGCCGAAGCGCTGGCGGACGCCGATGCCGTATTCGCCGGCGAAGTGACCTCGGTAAAATTCAGCGGTACCTCCCCGTACCGGCTCTCGTCAGCGGCGCTGGTCACCGTGGAATTCGGCGTCAGCCGCATCTGGAAGGGGCCGCGCTTGGCCACGTTGACCGTCGAAACCGAGCGCCGCGAAGTTTCCTGCGGGTACGAGTTCAAAAAGGGACGGAAGTACATCGTGTACACCTGGGACGGCACGCGAACCGGGCTTTGCACCCGCACCGCCCCGGCCTGGATGGCGTTTCGCGATTTTGTGGCGCTGGGCCCGGGACAACCACCTGAGCCCACGCCATCGTCGGAAACTGCCGGGGGTGGTACCTGCTCGGCCACGGCGAGTTCGGGGGAACGGCGGGTGGAGGTCACCATGCTGGGACTGCTGGTCGGCGTCATAGCCTTGGGCATACGCCGCCGACCTCGCCTATAATGTCGGTGCGAAACGGTCGTCGACGGCAACCCGCTCTCTCGTTGACCACAATCCCAGTTCATCACCAGCCGTACCAACTGCCTACGGACCTTCGGAGTAAAGTCTATGGTCAGTAAACCTGCAAGGCCGCAGATCCCGTTTGAGGGGGATGAGGTCGATGACCTCACTATCGAATACCCATCCTCCGACGGTGAACGCATGGCCGAATCCGAATGGCAGTACACGCCCATGATTGAAACGGCGTCCACGTTGCGCGTCCGGTACCACGAACGCGATGACGTTTACGTCGGCGGCGATATGTTGATCTATTACCGGATGAACCGGAATGACGTCAGGGTGGCTCCCGATGTTTTCGTCGTCTTTGGCGCCACCGGCACCCATCCCCGGGACTCCTGGCTGCTTTGGCGCGAGGGCAAGGCTCCGGACTTTATCATGGAGATCGCCTCTTCCTCGACCTGGCGACGGGACGCTACCGAAAAACGCCGCATTTACGCTGACATGGGCGTAACGGAGTATGCGCGCTTCGACCCGACCGGAAGATACTTCACGCCGGCGCTCGTAATGGAAACGCTGGACGGAACGGAGTACCGGGAGCAGCCGCTCACCACGGACGACGGGGGAACCCTGCGCGGCCACAGCGCCATACTAGATCTGGAAATCTGCGTATCGCCGGCGCTGGAACTGCGGCTCTACGACCCGGCAGCAGGAGAATGGCTGCGCACCCATCAAGAGACGGAGGCAGCCCGTCGTGAGAGTGAAGCGGCCCGTCGTGAGAGTGAAGCGGCACGCCGCGCCGCCGAAGACGAAATTGACCGTCTGCGCTCCGAGCTGCGCCGCTTGCAACAACAATAGATTGAGGTATTTGCAGTATGCGACTGGAAAACAAAGTGGCTTTCATCAGCGGGGGCGCCCGGGGCATGGGCGCAACCGAGGCAAAGATGTTCTCCCGTGAGGGATGCAAGGTGGTTATCGGCGACCTGCGAGACGAGCTGGGGCGACAGACTGAGGCCGAGATCAATGAGCTGGGTGGCGAGTGTCTCTATGTTCACCTGGACGTGACCGACGAGCAGTCCTGGAAGGACGCCATCGCGGCCACGGTCGAGCGGTTCGGCAAGCTGGACATCCTGGTCAACAACGCCGGCGTGTATATGCCGGAGACGGTGGAGAACACCACCATGGAAAACTGGGACACCACCATGAGCGTGAACGCGAAGGGTGTGTTCCTGGGCACCAAGGCCGCCATTCCCGAAATGCGAAGCAACGGCGGCGGCTCCATCGTCAACATCTCCAGCGTGGCCGGCCTGGTGGGCAACCACATCTCATCGGCCTATACCGCATCCAAGGGCGCGGTACGGCTGTTCACCAAGTCCACGGCAATCCAGCATGCCGCCGATGGCATCCGCTGCAATAGCGTCCATCCCGGCACCATCGAGACCGACATGACCGCCGACCTGCTGGCCGCCGGCGGCCGGGAGGACCGGCTGAACCGTACCCCGCTGCGCCGGCTGGGTCAGGCCGAGGACATCGCCTACGGTGTGCTGTTCCTGGCGTCCGACGAGGCCTCATTCATGACCGGGAGCGAGCTGGTGATCGATGGCGGCCGCACTGCAATGTAACCGGCGAGACACATGCTCGTACTTTGACACACGCTCGCACCCTGTCATGCGCGCATACCCTGTCATTGCGAGCGAAGCGTGGCAATCTCGTCGTGTCCCCGGTCGTCACGGCGGCAACGGGATCACACTCCGCTCCGCTCCTCGCCAAGACCGACTGCAACTTCGACCTCGCCCACAGTAATCTATGGGGATATTTTCCGGCGGGTCTTCCCTGCTGCAGTGTCGGCTACCAGACGCGCACCTCTACGTGCGTCTCCAGCATGCGGTGTTTCATGTGCTGGAGGCGGACAGCGGGGGCGCGGCCCGGGTTGTTGATTTCACCATTTTCGGGTTGGTGCTGTTCAGCGCGGTGAACCTCGCCGTTGGCAACACCAAGCTGGAATTCTTTTTCATCAGCGTGTTTGCGGCCGAATACCTCATCCGGCTGTGGTGCATAGTCTGGCACGACAAATACCGCCAGGGCGGGTGGAAGAGCCGGCTGCGCTATGCGACGACAAACGCGGCGGCGATCATCGACTTCATCGCCATCTGGCCGACCCTGGTGGTGATGATCATCTTCGGCGAGGTGGAAGTGCTGCCCATCTTCCGCCTCATTTCCCGGCTCATCATGACCGGCCGGCGCTTCCCCGCGATGCGCCTGATGGGACGGGTGATGCTGCGGTCAGCGTCGCAGTTGCTCAGCGTGCTGGTAACCCTGAGCGTGTTCTGGCTCGCCGCGGGCTACCTGATGCACTCGGCCGAAACGAACCTGCCCAACGGGAACCACGAGCAGTTCGGGAACATTGGCGAGTCGCTCTGGGCCTCGGTGGTGATCCTGACCACCCTGCCGTCCCTTGAGGTGGTGCCGGGCACGCTGGTAGGCCGGGTGATCGCCGGATTTATCGCCCTCCTGGGTATCGGGCTATTCGCGCTGCCCGCCGGCATCCTGACCTCCAACTTCATGGAGGCCTACCAGCAGGCGCGCGACACCGCCGGGCAGATAGAACTGAGCATCTGCTGGGTGCAGAGCGCGGCCCAGCGACGGCAATCGCACTGGCCCCCGGTCCTGGCTAACCGTTCCCGCCGCGGCGGGCCATCCTGACGACGCGCAATCCGGTGGTCTGACGTTCAGCGCAACTCCCGAGGCAACGTGAATGTTATGTCCTCTTCGGCGCCCTCCAGGAAGGTTACTTTCTCCGGGTCCAGCGCGTCTATCACCGCTTCCACCAGCACCTCCGGCGTTGACGCGCCGGAAGTTATGCCCGCCCGTTGGCAGCCCACCAACCAGTCCGGATTGATTTCGTCCGGGCCGTTGATCAGGTAGGCCGGAGTACCGTTGGCTTCGGCGACCTCCCGCAACCGGTTGCAGTTCGACGAGTTCTGCGCGCCGATCACCAGCACCACGTCCACGAGCCCCGCCATCTGCGTGACCGCATCCTGGCGATTGGTCGTCGCGTAGCAGATGTCGTTCCTCACCACCGCCCCGGGAAATCGTTCCTGAATCGCGCCGATGGCAGTGGCGGTATCGCCCACCGAAAGGGTTGTCTGAGTTATGACGGCTATTTCGGAGTCCGCTGGCCAGTCCATGTCCGCGCTGACGTCCTGCTCCGACAGCGGCGCGGAATCGTTAATCAGCGTCATCGGAGCCTGGCCCATGGTTCCGCGGACTTCCTGGTGACCATGATGTCCCACCAGCAGCACCTTCTTGCCTTCTCGATGGTACTTCTTCGCCTCGTTATGGACCCGGGTCACCAGCGGGCATACCGCGTCGATGACCCTGAGATTGCGCTCGGCCGCTTTCTCAAAGTCCTCCGGCGGTGACCCGTGCGCCGAGAATACCACCAGTGAACCGTCGGGCACCTCGTCAACCTCCTCTACCGTGATGGCTCCCTTCTGCTCCAGTTCAGCCACCACGTAGGGGTTGTGCACAATCTGGTGCTTGACGTAAACGGGCGGACCGAAGCGCTGCAGGCATTCCTCCACAACGTCAATGGCCCGCACCACACCGGCGCAGAACCCTCTGGGGGAACTCAATACTACTTCAACCATCTTGTAATCCTCTCGCAGCGCTCCATCGCCCCTGCGGCCCATGATCCCTTGTATGCTCATTCAGTAAGTCCTGCTTATCATTTGACGTGAATGTTCCATATCGTTCCTAGGCGTTATCCGGCTCCCAGCCCCAGGGTCGGGGGCCCCAGCCGGCTTCAAACAACTCGCCTCGCTTTACCGACAGCACGGGAGTAACGGCGCGTTCCGACTTCCGGCCATTGCCCAGCACGTCATAGACCACCCAGTCGCCGTCCTGGATGTCCAGCACCGAAACGTCGGCCTGCTTGCCGATTTCCAGGCTGCCCAGGCGTTCTTCTTCGCCAATTGCCCGGGCCGGATTGATGGTGCACATCTCAACCACTCGGTCCAGCGTGAATCCCATGGCCAAGAACCGTGTCATCATCTCGGTCATGCTGTGAACCGTGCGGATGCGTCCGGGAACGGTCAGGTCGGTGCTGATGCAGTGAGGTTCCACGCCTTGGTCCAGGACCCGCTCGCCGATGTCGAAGCTGAAGTTGGCGCGGCCGTGCGCGGTGTCCAGCCAAACGCCCCGCTCGTGAGCTTCCCGCGCCTCGGGAACCAGGTTGCCGTCGCTGTCCAGCACGCCGCCCGGATTGGCGGTGAAGAAGTGGGTGACGATGTCTCCCGGTTCCATGATCGGGAGCAACTCCCGGATCACTTCGGCGGGATAGCGCTTTTCGGTGTCGCCGATGTGCACCATGAGCGGCACGCCGGCCTCTTTGGCCGCTCGCTTGGCCAGGCGCGGCATCTCCATGCCCATGATCTCCAGCGCCGGCGAGACCATGCGGGCCTTCACGCCGCGGATGGTGCCGTTGCTTTCCTCAATGACCTGTATCGTTCGCTCCAGGTCGATGCTGCTGAGCGAAAAAATGTCCGGCGTGGTGGCCAGTCCGGTGCGGCAGATGTGCAGGAAGGGAATGATCTCGGTGGCGTTGTTGGGAATGATGTGCGCCGGAAACCCGCCGTAGGTATCGCAGCCGCTGCTGCCGGCATCCACCATCGTGGTGACGCCGGCGCGGACCCCGCCGACGTCGGCCTTGACGCCATTTCCGTTCACTCCCTCGTACACATGGGTGTGCAGGTCGATCAGGCCGGGGGTTACGTACTTGCCCCGCACCTCCACGACGCGCGAGGCTTCATCAGCGGCGATGTCGGCGGCGACGGCTGCTATTTTGCCGTCGGTTATTGCCACGTCGTACGCGCCGTTCAGATTCTGCGTGGGATCGATTACCGTGCCGCCTTTGATGAGCAGGTCGTACATGGCCGGTTTCCTCCATGGCGCGGGGTCAGTTCATTGAAAAGGGTCGTGAGAGGACGAGGCTGAGGATGCCGGTGCCAGCGTAGTCAGCGCCGTCTACGGAGTCAAGCGAAGCAGCTGGCCGCGCAGGGCCTTTCCTAATTCATTGCGAACGAAGCGTGGCCATCTCGTAAGCGCAGCGTCGCGGCTGCCACCGACCACGTTGGTGTAAACGAGATTGCCGCGTCGCTATCGATCCTCACAATGACAGACGACTTATGTCGTCCAACCGCCAAGGCAGCACGAATGGACGAGGCGAACTGGCCTACTGCTGATTCACAACCGTAGCGTCCGTCGAACCCAGGGCATCCGGTCTGACAGCCGGCTCGGTCCTGCTGTTCAGCCGATACATGGCAGAGATCAAGCGTCCACCCACCACGAGGACCATGTAAACGTAAGTGCACATGGCTTGCCAGAGATACCCCACATTCAACCTTTCCATCGCCTCTTCGGGCGGATATCCCAAAGTCGCGAAATCGATGTCCCACGAATGCAGCAGGTTGTGGTCCGGGAGAACGGAAGGCAATCCCGGCGCCAGGTATACGGCTAGCATGGTGGCAGCGCCCAGTGTGGTCAGCGTGATCGTCGCAGCCACCGTGGCGTAGAGCAGGAACCTTCGGTCCCGCTCCGGGGGATTAACGGCGGGGTCACGCAACAGGAGCAATACGATGAATACCGCCGAAACCGCGGCCACTTGCATGCCGAACTGTATCCAGACCGCGATGTTGGACAGCACCAGAACACAGAGGTATGCCAGAGCCACGGGAGGCACGACCACCGCTATCGCGCGTCGCAGTGGATCTGCCGCCCCACGGCTGGAGCCGTATTGCCAATTCCAAAGTAGGTGAAATACTACCGCCGCGGCCGACGATATTACCAGGTTCACCGTGAGCGCCAGCATGTAAGGGAACGGTTTTACTGCGAATTCTCCCAGGGTGTAGAACCCGTAGTTGTCCATGCGGGTCAACGCCGATTGTAGCAGTTGCGTGCTGAGGAGAAAAAACAGCGAAACGGACAGGAATTCCCGAAGGTCGTGGGTACCGCGCATCCTGATGAACTTGTACGCCAGCATCAAACCCATGATGGACACGACGTAAACGATAGGCACCCATGGGTCCATCAGACCTGCCGACGACAATAGGTACCCGCTAGCCACGATGCACATTCCGGGCAGGAGACAGCCGAAGATGGCAAAGCGGAGCGCATCCTTGATGCCCAACGACGCCAAAATGCTGGTCGGCGGCCCTGATCCAACCATCGGGCTGGGATCTGGCGAGCTTTCCGACTCCGTCTGCGGGCGCTCCGGCTCAGCCACAATGCCGGACTCGAACCCCGCCAGGGTCATCAGCCCGTCCATCTCATCGCCCGAAAGGTTCAGGGCTTTACCGAAGACCTCGAGTCGCTTTTGACTGGGACGGGTGACGCCCGATTCCCAGCGGGAAACCATGGTATGGCTGGATCGGTCAGCGTACTGATTATCAACCATCGCCATGCGGCGCAGCAGTTCCTCTTGGGTCAGACCGCGGTTGCCGCTTCCTGTCGAAAATGCCTCCCGATAGGCTTTCATCAGGATGCCAACCTGGGCGGAGCGGGAGCGCTGCAGATCACGGTCCTGCATCAGAGTCACCAGCACATATCAATGTTGTAACGTGCCATGCGTCATCGCGCAGAAATTTCGGTGCGAGGCTGCATTGTATCCCGTTTGCGGCCGGGTGTGGAAAATTTACAATGAGCACAAACGCCAATTCACAGGCTGCCGCGCCTGGCCTGGGTTCAAACTGGCGACCGGCGTACCGATGCCCTATACTGCCGCCAGCCAAATCTAAACCCTAATCAGACAACACGTCGCTGTGGAGGTCACCATGACGCTGGGACTCAGAAGCTACCGCCCCCTGGTCGGCGGCGTTACCCACATGGTTAGCACCGGCCACTACCTGGCCACGGCTGCCGGTTACCGGATCCTGGAGCAGGGCGGCAACGCCATTGACGCCGGGGTAGCCGCCGGGATCGTTATCAACGTGACCCTGCCCCAGTACACCAGCTTCGGCGGCGTGGCTCCCATCATCATCCACCATGCCGAATCCGGCGATACCAGGGAGATCAGCGGTCTCGGTCGATGGCCTGCCGAGGCGTCCAGCGATTATTTCCGCACCGAACACGGTGGCGACATGCCCCATGGAGTGATGCGCACCGTGACCCCGGCTGCGCCGGACGCCTGGCTCACCACCCTCAGTCGTTACGGCACGATGACCTTCGAGCAGGTGGTCACGCCGGCGCTGGAGATTGCCGCCGGCGGGTTCCCGATCCCGGCTACGCTGCATCGCGCCCTAGCCAGCAGCGGAGACAACATCATCCTCGATGAAGGGGACACCAGCCAGTGGACCAGCACCATGCAGATCTTTTATCCCAATGGCAAGGCGTTGGGCGTCGGAGATCTCCTGGTACAGTCCGACCTTGCACGCACCTTCCGGCGCATGATTGACGCCGAACGCGGTGCGTCCGGCCAGGGCCGGGAGGGCGCCCTCCAGGCCGCGCGGGACCTCTTCTATAAGGGCGACATCGCCGAGGAAATGGTCGCGTTTATTCGGGGCCAGGGCGGGTGGCTGTCCATGAACGACCTGGCGGCCTTCTCCGTGGGCGTGGACTCTCCGCCTATGATTGACTACAAGGGCCCGGACTCCGCAGAAATCCAGGTGTACGCCTGCGGTCCGTGGTGCCAGGGGCCGATGAACCTCCACGCCCTGCGTATCCTGGAAGGCTGCGACCTGCCGGGCATGGGCCACAATTCGGCCGAGTACATTCATACCGTGCTTGAGGCCCTGAAACTGGCTTTTGCCGACCGTCACGCCTACTACGGTGACCCCGATTTCGTCGATGTGCCCATGGCCGGCCTGCTCTCCCGGGAGTACGCGGACATCCGGCGACGGGAGATTGACCCCAGCCGCGCTCATCCCGAGATGCCCGACGCCGGAGACCCCTGGGCGTTTCAGTCAGGGACTGGCCCCGCGGCCCGCAAACCGGAACCCGTGGCCGGCCCGCTGTCGGCGGACACCTCGTATATCTGCGCTGTGGATCGCTGGGGCAACGCTTTCTCCGCCACGCCCAGCGACGGGTTCGGCGGCGCGCCCATTGTGCCCGGTCTGGGTTTCATGGTGTCCGCTCGCGGAGCGCAAAATTGGCTGGACGAAGATCATCCCTCCAGCCTTGCGCCCGGAAAGCGGCCCCGCCTCACTCCCAATCCCGCGATGGCGTTCCGGGACGGCAAACCCTGGATGCCCTTCGGAACGCCGGGCGGCGACGTGCAGCCCCAGTCCATGGTCCAACTCTTCCTGAACGTTGCCGAATTCGGAATGGACGTGCAGCAGGCAATCGAAGCCCCACGCGCATCCACCTGGAGCTTCCCCAATTCCTTCTGGCCCCACGCCTATCGCCCCGGTCTGGTCGGCGTTGAATCCCGCATCGCGCCCTCCGTGGTGGACGACCTCCGCAAACGCGGTCACGACGTGGACGTGTGGAACGAGTGGACCCCGCGGATGGGTTCCTTGTGCGCCATTGAGATCGATCGTGAGCGCGGGAGCCTGTTCGGGGGCGCCGATTTGCGCCGAGACGGCTACGCGATGGGCCGCTGATTTACCATCCGCCGTAAAACAAGAGGGCGGCGCCGGGAATCTTCCCGGCGCCGCCCTCTTTGAATGCACGCTGAGTGTGACAGTAGATTGACGTGGTTGTGGCGCTTCGTTTCGTTGCAACCTGAGCTACGGCTTCGCCATCCGGTAGCCGATGCCGTGCTCCGTGAAGATGTACGACGGCTTACGGGCGTTGTCGCCCAGCTTTTGCCGCAGCGTCTTCACGTAGGCTCGAAGCAACTGCGATTCTCCCGTGTACTCAGGTCCCCAAACCCGGTGCAGCAACTCGTCCTGGGTCATGACGCGCCCGGCACTGTTCGAGAGTTCGTGAAGCAGTTTGTACTCCGTCGCGGTCAGTTGCACCGCATGGTCCCCAACTGTTACGCGGTGGAATTCGTGGTCAATACTGACGTCGCCCACGGCGTATCCATCATTCCGTTTCGCGGGATATGAGATTGCTTTTCTGCGGATTGACGCCTTGATCCTGGCCACCAACTCCGTCGGCGAAAACGGCTTTACGATGTAACCGTCAGCGCCCTTGTCGAATAACAAGACGGCGCTCGCTTCGTCTCCCGGGTCCAGGATGCCAACCACCGAGATCCGCTGTGACGTCACCAGCCATTCCAGCAGCTCAAAACCCTTTTGTCCCGACTTGGACAGGTCAACCAGGGCAACTTCCGGCTTTTGTTCCGCCACCAGCCGGTCCAGGTCGCCAAGGTCAAAAACTGCCAGCGGGGCAAAATCAGCGCGCGACAGGGTTCGACGTATTGTGCCGAGGATATGCGGATCCTCCGCTACCACCAGGATTCGCGGTTTCTCACTAGCGGTTAGGTGGCCAGGTTCGACCTTCTTATTCGGTATGGAAGTGGCGTCCTCTCCCCCGGCTGTGGGAATGGTCAGAGTGAACGTCACACCGCGCTCGTCTGGGCTCCGTACCGTGCGGAACCAACCTCCGTGGGCGTCCACAATTCCTTTGGCAATCGCCAGGGCCAGACCGTCGACCGCAGCAATGTCTTTTTCTTCTGCGGATCGTGCCGCCCGGAGTCTTTGAAACAATTGGGGTGGTTGAGTGTCATGGTCGGGGTTCCCGACGGTCGACACCGAAATGGCGACCTGACGGTCTTGCAATTCGGCGCTCACCGCTATGGCCGCGTCTCCGGCCGAATACCTGAAGCTATGAGCCAACAGGTCTCGCAGGACTTGGTCCACGCGCTGCCGGTCGGCTACGATGCTGGGCAGACCTGACGGAATTTGCGCCTCAATGGTCTGACCGGGATGGTTGCGCCCAAAATCTTTGATGGCGCCGGTTATCAACGTCTCCACGTCCGCGGTGTCCAGGGAGAGCTGGAGCGTCCCCGCGTCGATGTGAGTCAGGTCGATCAAATTGTTGATTTGCCCACGCATCAGGTCCGCTTGATGATCGATGATCTGTACCAACTGCAAGGGCTCGACCGAGCGCATCGAGCTGACGGCATCGGTCAGGGCCGCGATCGTACCTTTGATTGCGCTCAAGGGCGTGCGCATTTCCTGGCTCACCATACCCAGGAAATCCGCTCGCATCCTCTCTTCGTCCTGGCGTGGCGTCATATCCTGCACCGTCACCACCACCGAAACTATTTCGCCGCGCTCCGAGTAAATGGGCGCGGCGTTTACGAGGGTGGTCACAGACCGCCCATTGGGCAAACAGATGACAATTTCCTCAGCCCGCACGGTCTCGCCACTCTGCATCACCCGGGTGGACGGCAACTCATTGAAGGACATTTCTCGCCCATCCGCTCGTCGGAAAGACATTACATCCGGCATGCGTTCCCAGGAGCCTTCCGGCAAGTGCAGATCGTCGCAGATGCGCTGGCACTCCTTGTTTGCGGAGATCACGGCGCCGGTCTTCGCATCGAAGACGACCACGCCAATCGGAGATATGTCGACCAGCGCCCGGAGATCGGTTTTGGTGCGTCGTTCGGCTTCGAATTTGCGCGCGTTCGAGATCGCGGTCCCGGCGTGTGCGGCAAATTTTACGATGATGTCTTCGTCGTCCGGCGTGAATTCTTCGCCGCGCTCCGTTTCCGTCAGGTATATGTTGCCGATGTGCTGTCCCGTCACGGCGGATGGGCATGCCCAGAAACGTCTGCATGGGCGGGTGCCCTTCGGGCAGCCCAATCGACCTGGGATGACTTGCGATGTCGGCGACCCGCAACGGGCCCTGAACTTCGTTCAAATAACCGAGCAGTCCCTTGCCTTGAGGAGGGGTCTCAACGCCGTGGAATTCCTCCGCGGTGGAACCTGAGGTAATGGTGTTCTCAAGCTCGCCGGATGCGCCATACGTCAGGAGTACCCCGTATCTAGCTCCGGTCAGCCAACGCGCATTGTCGATGACCCTTTGAAGCACAGTTTCGGTTTCCAGGCTTTCCGAGACCCGCAGGCAAGATTCAGCCAGGTTGGCGAACCTTTCTGGGGACCCTTGATCGTCTCGCTTGGACCAGTCCGTTTCGGTCGAAGTATGTGCAAGCATCATTGTCTCGTTTGAGTGTCACTCGGCAGGGTTTCGCATGGGCATAGTGCCGGCCTGACGACTCACGTTTGCGCGATCCGGGATCTGTCGTCGCTCCCGGCTTCCCGACTGGTGAGTTACAGAATGGTCACTTGTGCGGCCGCAGCATACCACGTTTTTTCCAAGGATCAAACGCTTGTTATGATTATAGTGCACCAATGTAACGAACGAGAAATATATTCTGATGGCAATGTTCGGTGTGGACGAGGCAACCGCACTGACTTTCGGGTCAATGCACATCCGGCTCCGCCAGCGAACCGGAAGCCGATGATCCCTTTCAGAGCCATATATTTGCGAACGGTATCTCATAAAACATCAGATATCAAACTATGTTCGATTCGGACAGTTCGAGCACGAGAAATGCGGCCTGCCAATCTGCCCGGTTGCCGATCTGCCCGGCGCGCGTCGGATTTTTCACAGCAAACCGGTACGGACTTGATCGGCCGCGGACTGATCTCCCGGCTCGTGTGGCGTCCCTGGGTCACTGCATTAATGCTGGGAGCGCGCCGCTGACGGGCCGGTGCGACCACCACCCAACGACCGCATGCCGACTGAATATCAGCGGAAACCCCGGACAAGACGCTGACGATCCCATCGACGCCTTCTGCCGGCTGGGATCAGAGATGTATCAACCTTGCCCGGAACTCCTGTAGGGCCCGGAACTCCTGTAAAGTAAGCAGTCGATTGCCTCGGCACCCACGAACCCGACCGGCCATGAAATTTCGCTACCCACTCCGTCGTGAGCCGGTCAAATCATTAACCACGGGAATTACCGGAGGACAAGATGATCGTAGTAACCGGAGCGGCCGGAAGGCTGGGACGCCGGGTGGTGCAGCTGCTGGTGGACCAAAACCAGGAAGTCCTGGCAACCGACCAATTGGCTGCCGATGACCTTCCGGCGAAGTTTGTGCCCTGCGATCTCGGGGACGCCAGGGCAGTGGAAAGCCTTCTCAAGGACGCGGAAGCCGTCGTTCACCTGGGGGCCATACCGGGGCCGTTGCGGGAAGACCCGCGGGTGATTTTCGAAAATAACGTGACCAGCACCTTCAACGTGATGATGTCAGCGGCAGATCTGGGACTGCGGCGCGTGGTATTTTCGTCCAGCGCCTTCGGCATGGGCTGGGCCCACGACGGGAGCGCCTTCGTGCCGCTGTACCTGCCATTGGACGAGGAGCATACCATGATGCCCTTCGAGCCCTACGGCCTGTCCAAGCAGGTTGGCGAGGACATCGGCCGGATGATCGCCCGCAATTCGAACACCACCGTCGTCAGCCTGCGGTTCACCAATGTGGCGCTCCCCGAAGTCCAGGCGGAGTTTCCCTGGCCGGCGCCCACGCCCGAGGATCCCCTGACCTTGGTGATGTGGGCCTACGCTGATGCCAGGGACGTGGCCGACGCCCACGTGCTGGCGCTGGATTCGGAAATCGAAGAGTATGAAGCTTTCATGATCGCCCAGCCCTCCAGTCGATTCGCCGAGCCCACGATTGACCTGGTCAAGAGCAACTTCGGCGACCGGGTGGAGATACGGGACGGGCTGGACGGCACCGCCAGCGTGATCAGCACGGAAAAGGCGCAGCGGCTGCTGGGCTGGCGGCCCCGCCACGACTGGCGGTAAGTGGCGACGGCAAACCGCACCTGTCCGCCATACCGCCTTGTTGACCACACGAACCATCTTGGCTTAGATTCAACACCAGAAACGCAAATTACTTTAGCCCTGCAACTCTCCAATGGAGGACAACCGCCATGCCGTTCTACGAAAGAGGCGCAACCCGTATCTATTACGAAGAGGTCGGATCGGGATTCCCGCTGCTGATCATTCCCGGAGGCGGACTTAATTCCACCGTTGACGGGCTGCGTACTTCGCATCCCTTCAACCCCTTGGCGGAGTACGGCAACGACTTCCGCGTCATCGCCGCCGACCTGCGCAACTCCCCTCCGGGCCAATCCACCGGCCCGCTGGAAATCGACCGCCCCTGGGACGCCTACTCGGAAGACCACCTGGGGCTGATGGACTTTCTCGGCATCGGCGAGTTCATGGTCATGGGGTTCTGCATCGGCGGGCCGATGATGCACAACCTACTCCGGCTGGCGTCGGACCGCGTCGTCGCGGCCGCCTTCATGCAGCCCAGCGGTTTCCGGCCGGAGTTGCCGGACCTCTTCTACCAGAACAACATCGCGGGCTGGGGGCCGCCCCTTTGCGAGAAACGTCCGGATATCACCATGGATATGGTGCATGACTTCTTAACGAACATGTACACCAACCGCGCGGACTTCGTTTTCACCGTGTCCCGTGATTTCGTGAGCTCCCTCGAGACACCCATACTGATCGCGCCCGAAGACGTGCCGGCACACCCGTATGCGGTCGCGATGGAGGTTGCCAACCTCGCCCCGAACTCCGAGGTGACCATCTATCCCTGGAAGGACACCCAGGAGCACATCGACGAGGCTGTAGCCCACGCTCGGCGCTTCCTCAAGGCCCACCAACCGGCAGTGACGACAGCCTGACCATTTCGGGCTGCTGAACCCGTCAGGGCCTCACCAATTTCCATTGGTCACCCGGTGGCGAAGGGAAGAAGGCGGGGCCCTCGGGTTTCTGCTGCCGGGTCAGCGTCAGTTCCCGTGTCGATTTGCGGGCTGTCCGCCCGTATCCTGCACAGCGACCGGGGCAAGCGCCCATGCCGTACATCCCGTCAACCCGCGTGAACGCCAGGCCCAAATCACCGCTCCCGCGTCCCACGACGATAATCCCGAACACTTCAACTGGAGAAAACGAGCTTGCCTGAAACTGCTGACGTGGTCGTAATCGGCGCCGGTGTGGTCGGTTGTTCGGTCGCCTACTATCTGGCCCGGGAAGGGGTCAGTGTGACCCTGCTGGAGCGCGAGGCCATTGGCAGCGGGGCCTCGGCTCACGCCACCGGTTCCCTCAGTCTGCTGGGCGCCGAGTTCTCCCCCGGGGCGTCGTTCCAAATTGCCCGGGCCTCTTACGCCGAGTTTCCCCAGATCGTTCCCGAGCTGGAAGCCGCCACCGGCATGGACCTGCTCTACCAGCGTCGTCCCTCCCTCCGGTTGGCCCTGGACGACGACGAGGCCAGTCTGATCAGAGAGTTGATGGCCTGGCAGCAACCCCATGTCCCGATGCACTGGATTGACGCCGGGGAGGTCCAGTCCATCGAACCACGCCTCTCCCCATCCATCATCGGCGCCGTGTATGAGGACGAGTCTGCCCAGTTGGACAGCTACCGCTTCAACCTCGCCCTGGCCCGTGGCGCCGAGCTCAAAGGCGCCCACATCCGTCACCGTGAGGTGACCGGCCTGGTCGCCGCTGGCCCCACGATTTCCGGCGTCAGGACCGCCTCCGGGGAAATACACTGCGGCACGGTGGTGGTGGCCGCCGGCACCTGGAGCCGAGCCTTCACTCCCTGGCTGGACTTCCCCGTCCCCGTCCGCCCCATGAAGGGCGAGCGCCTGTTGCTCAATTACCCCGGCGAGCCGCTGCCGGTACTGATCAGTTCGCCCAAGCGTGGTCACATGATCAGCCGGTTGGACGGTCTCACCAGCGTCGGCAGCACCGGCGGCCGGGACTATGACCGGAAGGAGCTTTTCTGGGGCGAGGAGTATGACCGCCGGCCCACCGAAACTGCCCGATTGGAACTCCTCCAGCGCGCCATCGACGTCTTTCCCGACCTGGAGCGCGCCGAGTTGGTCCAGCAGCTTGCCGGTTCCCGTCCGCTCAGTCCCGACAGCAAACCCATCATCGGTCCGGTTCCCGGTCGGGACGGCATTCTCCTGGCCACCGGCCACACCACCAAGGGCATCCACCTGGGGCCCATCACCGGCCGCATTATCACCGACTATGTCTGCCGTGGTTCAACCGAGGTCGTCTCCGATATGAGCGAGTTCCTCCCCGACCGTTTCGCAGACTTTGCCGACGCCGATTTCCTCACCGCAGACCAAACGGTGGACGAATAGGTCCTACTCTGCCGGGTAATTCGCCAGCCACCACCGGGCGATGTCGATGCGGCGGGCCAGCCAGACATCGGGCTTGCTCCGCACGTACTCTATGAACCGGCGCAGCGCCGCCGCCCGGGCCGGCTTCCCGATGATGCGGCAATGCAGCCCCACCGACATCATCTTGGGGTGCGTTGCTCCCTCCCGGTAGAGGGTGTCGAAGCAGTTGCGCGCCGACTCGAAGAAGTCCATCGGCGTTGACAACTGCCCGCGCCAGAACCCGTAGTCGTTGACCTCCAGCGAGTAGGGAACCACCAGCCACGGGTTGCCGTGGACCTCGGTGTAGTAGGGCAGGTCGTCGTTGTAGGCGTTGCAGTCGTAGACGAAACCGCCTTCCTCCACCACCAGCTCCCGGGTGTTCACGCTGGGGCCATAGCGCGTGTACCAGCCCAGCGGCCGCTCCCCGGTGCTGCGGGTGATGGATGCCACCGCCTCACGGATTGCCTGCCGCTCGGCCTCCCGGTCCATATTGTAGTACTCTTCCCAGCGGTTGCCGTGCCCCATCACCTCGTGTCCCCGGCGGACGACCTCCGGCCCCACCTCGGGGTTGCGCTCCAGGGCCAGGGCGCAGGCGAAGATGGTCGAGTCGACGCCATACTCGTCCAACAGATCCAGAATGCGCCAGACGCCGACCCGGCTGCCATACTCGAAGAACGACTCGTTGGCCAGGTCTCGCTCACCCCTGGCCACCGGCGACGGCGACTCACCAACCGTCTCGCCGTGAGCGTCGCCGTCCAGGATGGAGTTCTCCGACCCCTCCTCGTAGTTGACTACAAAGGACACGGCGATGCGTGCGCCGTTGGGCCATTCAACCGCCGGCGGGTTGGGGCCATAGCCGATCAGGTCGCGTCCTGCCATGAGATAACTCCTCGGGGGCCGGTCAGCCGCCCCGCCACGGGTTGATCCCGGTGGTCTTCATCCGCATCCGGTACACCGAGCTGCGGGCCGTGAAATACATGGTGCGGTAATCGGCATCCCCCCAGGCGCAGTTGGCCGGAATCTCGGGCAGCTCTATTACGCCCACCAGCGCACCGTCCGCCTCGAAGACCCAAACGCCGCCCGCGCCGGTGCAGTACACCCGGCCGTCGGTATCAACCTTCATCCCATCGGGTACGCCGTCCTCCGCCGAGTGCATGTTGGCGAACAGCCGGCTGTTGCTCACCGACCCGTCGGCGGCCACGTCATACGCCCGAATGTACTGGTGGGTACAAACCTCACCCCGTTCCTTCTCCGCCGCGCATTCGTCGCCGCGGCGAGTGTTGTCGGCGTACAGAATCGATTCGTCGGGCGAGAAGACCAGGCCGTTGGGCGATTCCAGGTCGGTTATCACGGCGGTCACCGTGCCGTCGGGCGCGATGCGGTGGATGCCATGGAAGTCGATTTCCCGCTCTTCCGGGGGCAGGCGCAGGCCGGGGTTGGTGAAGTAGATGCTTCCGTCGGAGCGGCACACCACATCGTTGGGCCGGTGCAGCCGCTTGCCCTCCCAGCGATCCGCGATAACGGTGATGGAGCCATCGGGTTCCCAGCGGGTCATCTGCCGGTCGTCCCCGTCGCACATTATGATCCGGCCCTGGAGGTCGAAGGTCAGCCCGTTGGCGCCGCCGCTATTCTCCCGAATCACCTCGGGTTCGCCGCCGGGCGTCAGGCGATAGATGACGTTGATGCGGTTGTTCACGAACAACAGGTAGCCATCCGGGTGCCACAGCGGGCCTTCGGTAAATTCGAACCCGGTGGCCAACCGTTCCGCCTCGTAGGATTCGACGATTTGATCCAAACTATCCGGCATGGTGGCCTCCTGATTTCGATTGTCGGGCGGACCCAACAAGTTTGTTAGCACATTGCCAATTTTGGAAATTGGACAAATCAAAACATTCTCGCCGTCGGCGTACCCTGAAACGCTTGCGGGCACATCCGAGTACGCATCGTCGGGCATGCATAGAACCCCAGCAGCGTTGAACACTTTGGCATATAGGAGCACCTGCTCCACCCCCCCCGAATAATACGCCTGTGTTCTTGATTTCCACCACGACAGATTGGTCGCCATAGCTGACGAGCAAGTCCGGACGAAGCACGCGACCGAAATTGATGGGGCTCAAGTAACTTCGCCGCAGGTTTCGCCAATGCCTTGTCGACGGTTCCATCTCTACTTTATATCCGAGGTTCTGTGCAACTTGCGAGACTGAGGTCGTCATTTCACGTTCCGTCATTTGGTTCATGGTAATTAACCTCCGGAGAACAACGGCCAGATCCAGTTGTTGACTACTGCGCCAATTAGAGCGCCCAGCAACAACACCGCCAAATGCACAGCGACCTTTTTGGCAGTAAGGAGCTTCGCTTGTCGAGCCAGATAACCGTACAATGGGATTGACGGTTTATCAAGCACCGTTACCAGGGAAATCGTGGCGTGCGTTGTGAGAACTTCTTCGATCAATTGTAGCCAGCCGCACAACACGGAAACGCAATGGAGGAGGCCCTGTCCTATAATGAGAACTACCCAATCAACGGTGATGAAGACGCCTGCTTCTTGAAATTTGGCACGGATAACATATTGATCGCCCCAAGCCACGGGGCTCAACATTTGCCGCGCCCGGTCGGTCGGCATCTGTTCAACACTCTCTTGATCCATGAGTGTTAGCCTCGTAGCTGGTTCTAGCATAGGATAATCGGGCGTTCTTAATCTGAATTCTAAGTGTTTCATCATATGATTCTCATAATCTCGAAATGGCTGTGATCCAGAGTATGGTACCCGAAAAATGAGAGCCAACCGTGATTGCGATCGAAATGATCATCCAGAGCCGACGGACCACCGCAATACGGAACGGCCTGTAAAGAAATTCTAACAATCCGGATGATACCGCTCAAGGAGATCCACAAGTATACCAACCGAGGTGCAGGACAATTCCTAGTTGGACTTGGTGCGTCCCAGCCGCGTACGCATTGCTGCAGCGTCATCCTTGCACCTTAGGACAATGGGCTGGTTGTTTTGGACAGCGTAAACGCCAATGACCGGCAGCGGTATCCGGGACCCGCACCAGTCAGCGGCGCAGCACTAATCCGGGAACTTGGGCATCACTTCCTTCGCGAAAAGCTCCATTGACCGCATTACCCTGGAGTGCTCCATGTGGCCGAAGGACATGCAGGCGCCGAAGTACCCGATGCCGTGTTCGTCCCGCAATTTCTCTATTCTCCGCACGCAATCGTCAGGCGTGCCGAAATAAACAGTGCCCTCCAGTTCCGACTCGTAGCTGGGCGGCTCGGTGGTGCGGATCGTCCGCCAGTGGTCCAGGTCCACGTTGATCTCGTCGCCGCGGGTCAGCGTGCGCCGGTAGGTTGCCAGGTCGCGCACCCACCTGATGGACTCGCGGGGGTATTCCCGAGCCGCGTGCTCGTCCTCATCCAGATGCACGTATCGGAAGTAGGGCATCTCGCCCACGGGTAGATCCTTTCCGGCCGCAGCGCACCGCTCCGCGTACAGCGAAAACAGGCCCAGGTTGTCGGCCTCCGGCGTGGAGAAGCTGGTCAGGATGGGCAGGTCCCGCTCCACGGCGACGTCCACGCTGGCGGGCGTCCGGGACACCGCCATGTACACCGGCGGATGGGGCTTCTGCACGGGCGAGGGAGCGATGGTCAGGTCTTTCACCTGGTAGAACTCGCCCTGATAGGAGAAATCCGACTGCGTCCACAGGCCCAGGATGATGTCCAACGCCTCCTGGGTGCGCACGTCGCGCGTGTCCATATCGATGTTGAAGTTGCCGTACTCGTAATCCGCCGAGCCGCGACCAACTCCGAAATCCAACCTGCCGTGGCTCAGAACGTCCAGCATGGCGCTCTCCTCGGCAAGGAAAATGGGGTTGTAGAAGGGCAGGACGCTGACGCCGGCCCCGATGCGTATCTTCTTCGTGCGGGCGGCGATGTGCGTCAGCAGGGGCATCAGCGAGGGACAGATGCCGTACCGGCTGGAGTGATGCTCCGCGATCCAGATCGAATCAAGCCCCAGCTCCTCGGCGTACTCAACCTGCTTCCAGCATCTCGCCAAAATCCGGCTCTGGGCGCCGGCCTCCGGCTCCGTCCAGGAACCCAACAAAAACAACGCAAACTTCATGATGGACGCATCCCTCCTTCAAGCTAACCTGGCTGGAATTCTACAGGTATTGAAGCAGTCGTGCTGCACGTCATTTTTGCCCGGGTCGCCGGCGGACACATGCCGGACCCACTGCGTTTGCCAGCGACCCGGAACTTGCCCGGTGGTACACTGCCCTCAATTGCAGCGTTACAAAATCTACAGACCGCGCACGAGCAGCAACCGAGGAGGCTTCATGACAACCCAAGCTGCCGAAACCAAGAACATGAAGCTCATTTCCCACGTCGATTTGAAGGGACACAACAACATCGGCGAGGGCGTGGACCTGCACCAGACCGCCAGCGGACGGCGCATCCTTTACATGGCCCACGAGAGCGCCCAAGGACTTCACCAGCGTCGACGTCACCGACCTGGCCAACCCCAAAGTGGTGACCCAACCGACCTGGACCACGGCCACCTGCGCTCCAACTCCCTGTCCATCTTCGGCGACACGATGCTGGTGGCCTACCAGTCCCGCGAGCACGGCCAGCCTGGCACCGGGCATGGGCGTCTTCGACATCAGCGATCCCGAGTCGCCCCAGGCGCATCGCCTTCTGGGATGCCCAGGGGCCCGGCTCCCGGGGTGCCACTGCCTGTGGTGGGTTGACGGCGACTACGCCCACCTGGCCACCGGCACGCCCGACTCCCGCCCCACCGATCCCAAGGACGACCAGTTCTACGTGATCATGGACGTCAGCAACCCGTCAAATCCGCGCGAGGCCGGCCGCTGGTGGCTGCCCGGCACCCAGGAGGGCGACGACGCGCCGCCGCCGGACCGCCATCCCTATCTGGACGTGGGCCACAGCGTCCACAACACCAACGTCTACCCCAACCGGCCGGACCGGGCCTACTGCGGCTGGAAGGACTCCGGCGTCATCACCCTGGACATCTCCGACGTGTCGCGTCCCTCGGTCATTGCCCAGCTGAACTACGCTCCGCCGTTCCCGGGGTTCACCCACACGGTCCTGCCGCTGTTCAGCCGCGACCTGCTGGTGGTAACCCAGGAGGCCACCGCCCTGGGCGGCGCGGACTACCCCAAGCTGGTGTGGCTGATGGACAACCGGCTGGAGACCAACCCGGTGATCATCAGCACGCTGCCCATGCAGGACACCGACGACTTCTTCAACCGCCCGGGCCGCTACGGGGCGCACAACATCCACGAGAACCGCCCGGGTCCGCTGTCCCTGCGCTCGGACACCCTGGTGTACGCCACCTTCTTCAACGGCGGCATCCGCGTCTTCGACACCACCAACCCCTTCCAGCCCCAGGAGGTCGCCTACTACATCCCCCAGATACCCGAGGGCGCCGACGCCAACGGCATCAACGACATCCACGTGGACGAAAACGGCATCATGTACGTGGTGGACCGCCTGCAGGGCGGGCTGTATATCCTGGAACTGAATCTATAGGCGTTGTTCTCATGCCGACAGAAAGCGACCGGTTTGTCCCCCTACGGGCTCGGGTCAGCCGCGCGCCCCGCCGCTGCGCTACAGAAGTGTCACGACCGAGGGGCAGACGCCGTAGCGGCTGGAGTGGTGCTCGGCGATCCAGATCGAATTGAACCCCAGCTCCTCGGCATACTACACCTGCTCCAGCATCTCGCCAAAGATGCGGCTCTGGGCGCTGTCCTCCGGTTCCGTCTAGGAACCCAGCAAATACAGGGCAAACTTCATGATCGACGCGCGCCTCCTTCAGCCTAACCTGGAGGTAATTCTATAGGTCTCAGCGAAAGTCTGCTCACCAAGGTCCATCTCGACAGGTTGCGGCGTGCAGCACGGCGAACTCGATGGTGTTCGACGATCCCGTAGCTTTAACGGTTGGAACGCAGCCGTGCCAAGACCGAGGCCGTTAGTTCGGACCATCCAGGGTTACGACAATCCGCGTGAGTTGACGGCCGATCATAAAGGATTGTCGGAAATATCCAGCCCGTTAGAACCGCCAGTCTTCGGTCCCACGGCCAGGCGGTGGACGCCCTCCGACGAACACGCACCTTTCTAGGTTATGGAAACATTCCAGAAAGACCCTCCGCCAACGCCCCTTCTCGGTCTGTTCAGTGTTCAAGTTTTGTTGCACGTCCACAAAAATAGGCGCACTACCTGGTCGTCATGCGAAACAGCCGGCATTGGTGTGTCGCCTTCTCTCGGCGACGTTTCATAGTAACGATACGTCTCACGGACGAACGCGAGGGCCTTATCCCATGTCTCATACCGTGCGGCGTCAACTACGATTGCGGAACCCTCGCTATCGGGCGAAATCGAGCAACAGCAACAAGGACAGTGGTCGAACTCTATTCGGTAGTCAGCAGACCTCGAAGAGAGGTCGCATCGTCGCACGCGTCAGCCACATCCATCGCAGACGCGTAGCGCCTCGGATGTATCACCAACATATATCGCTATCAGGTCTCCAGGTAAGCCGATCCAAGGATGTGAGGTTCGCACGGCTTTCGACGTACGCCACCGGCGTCAACAACAGGCTCTTTCCCTGCAAAATGTACATCCGCTCTGTTCATAGTGACATTGGGGCATAGTTGAGCAAGCTGACTGTCTCCCACAGGCTGGACGCACGGTCTCACGCAACAGCACTTGTGGTGGTGTGATTAGGGCGCAGTGTGTCAAAGCCCCGGTATGGACCCGCCTATCCACAAACCGGAATGCGATGCTGCCTCCAGGCAGGACATCGTCTAGCGCGGACCAGACAGTAGGTAGGGCAGCTAGATAGTATCGGTTTTTGCAGGTGCAGTCGCGCCGCTGTGTGTGTGCAGCTTGCAGCATGCACCCCTTGGCAAGGCGCAGTCATACGTCGTGCTAGACGCGCGCCATCTGTTTCGTGCCGGAGCACAAAGATCTGGTCGTACAATGCTCGATCAGCAAAGATACCCACCTAGCGCCACACCCATTGATACTCCACACATTACACAGACTCCTAAACG